CTACACGCATTTTTCTGTTTCAAATATGTGTCAATTGGCTCATCACATACCACTGGTAGTCTTGCAAGTCATTGAAAACCCACTACATCAAGTCGTTATACATATGACCCTAACAGTGTATGTTTCACATGGCATTCATTACATCTAGGCTTGAACTGAACAGGAGGCCATTGAAGTCCACCTTTTACAGTTCAAAGTCTTTGTTACATGATTTTCTCAAACTATACTGTGAGTGAGTGAGTGAGTTGTGTTTAACGCCGCTTTTAACAGTATTCCAGTTATATCGCGGCATGTCAGTTTAATGTGGGAGGAAAGCCCGAAGAGATGCAGGTCTCAGACGTTTACCACTTCGGTGAAACCCACGAGCACGGGTATGGTGCTGACAAACCTAGAAACATAATCGGGGCGAACCGGGATTCGAACCCCCAATCATAGGTTTCTGGCGCACCCAAGGGACGCAACTCTGAACAACGAATTGCGGCGCCTTAGACGACTGAGCCAACCGTGCCCCCAAACTATACTGTAACTGAATCCTATAGAGCCATATGTGAAACATACATTATCTGTGTATACTTTCCGGACAGTTTTCAGCTGTCACACATGCATTCATGACTACTGAACACTAACCATAGATGTAGCCAAGGCAGGATGCATGTGTCATCAGACAATGAATCATGTATGGTACATAATGCTGTTATGACATTTATAACCGGTCAATATATAGCCTGTCAGGACATGTTGGTATGTGTATTATTTCCCTATCAGCATGATCAGGAAGACTCATTCATATGTAATGAATTTTATACATATGAGCAATAATATTTCATTGATTTGAGGTTCTACAACAAGTTCATAATAAATGACATGGAAATGCTCATGTATATCATTTTGGTGATGTGAGGTTCTGTAGTTGGACATGATGGAAAGACAGTCAACATAATAAATTTAATAATGTTTCTCCATTGTTCCTGCTGGCTTTTCAAACTGCCAGTCCCAGTGGACTGCCAACAATAAAGGCCTACCTTTAGAATACAGTACGACAAACTTTTCAAACACGTGACAATACCCTATGACGTAATTTGTAGTATTTTGTTGCAAGTCACACTGGCGAAACAATGCCCTGTGACGTCAGGGGTCATCGAGTGTGCATAAGCCCCTCCCAGTGATCTATCATCTCTACACGCAATGTCTTTGAATACGCCCTGTGCTATGGAGAGTTTTGAATATTTGTTTACTAAATATAGCCTGCGGCGGCGCATTTTATAGCAAGCGCTAGTTTACAAAAGCACTTTTATTTTTTATATATTTTTTATTTCGTTTTTCTCGTAATTCAAGTGGCTAAAATGGTTATAAATGGGAACTAATATACATATGTTATTTATTCGGTTCATTAATTTTCATTATTATGCACAAGAATGCAGTTTATAAGGGATATTATGTTGCTGCTGAACACATCCAAATGTCGCCAGTGTTAGGGTAGGCTATCCCGAACTCTCTATCCTTAGCCCTTGGGTCCCCTTAACGATCATTAGGGTTAGGTAGATCTACCCATTTAGTGCAGTGTTAGTGGCTATTATAAATTCTACAGCGGGTCCTAATATTCTTCACACAAAAACGTCGAGTAAAAAAGATGAAATCCTTTTGTGTTGAATACTTTTGCTACTGGAAACTCTCCTGGAACATTCACACAAGCCACTTTCACTGTTTACATTTTTTCAGTACTGATTCAAAAGCGAACTCACCATTGTGTCGTCACTAGCCATGCTCATGCCTCCCTAGTTCCTTACTATTATCCACATCATCCTTACAGTGTTCCGTACCACACTTTTCTGTCACAAAATCCACCCGACGATTTATTAAATACCATGTCATTCATGCGTACTCGCGAGTTCGACGTCTGACGCCTGGAGCCGTTTTCGGACTTTTAAGACTATTGACAATGTTTTGTCCAACAACAAAGATTTACAAGACACCTTATTTGCTGATCCACAGGCTCTGGCAGTCACAAGAATCACCGGTCCAAGCCTAATTTTACTCGTTAAAAACTGGTAATTACAGGTAAACATGAACACTGTTCTCAGACCCTGAAACAATAATATTCAATTATTCTAATTAATACAAGTTTATAATAACCGTGAACATGATAACCCCCTGGCTTATATAGTGGTGTAAATGTTATGCTACTTAAAATAACAACATAATATTTGGTCCTTCATCTGATCAATGTTTTAGCATAACAAACTCCTTGACAAAGCCCATCCCTCACAACAGGAGACAGAGTGACACACCCTAAAAGACGGGTGGTGTAACAACTCAAGTAAATATGTCATTATTGGGTGTGGCCACCATTTATGTTGATACAGGCCAGGCAGTGACAGTGCATTGAAGACACACCAGATGATAAAAAACAGCCTGGGGGAACAGAAATAGCGTTACCAATTGATTCTGATCCTGTCATAGAGGTTGTTCCTTCTCATCCCAGACTTGGATAAATGCATGGCAATACAGCAATGTTATCCTGCCTCAATAACATGTGCAACGTGACGTTAATCCCTGCATTTGCACAAATTTTCGTTCCTGTAGCATACATACGCCATTAAAATTGCCATAAACAGTGATGAGTTGTGCTCTCCCATGAGTTGTGATTTCATCCCATACCATTACACTTCCACTCCAAAACTGACAATGTGGAGAAATGCAATCATCGCTAAAACATTCTCCAGGACACCTGTAGACCCTGGACAGTATACTCAGATACTGTCTACACCAACCTAGGTGTTCCTCACAGTGATGTGGAAGCAAAATTGGGCATATCGCTGTACGTCAAATATCACTGGAATATTGCCAAGTGAGGCATTAAGCAACATTGTTTGCCATTAGTAACAAAACTGTAGTTATCAATAAATTTGTCATCATTGGTCCATATTTTGTAGTGACAATCAGTTCCAGGTGTTCAGAGATTGAAAAGCACATAACTCCAGGTAGCAGTAATTCATATTATTGGGAAAACATGATTATCATTTTGAGGGGATGGCAACAGCCACGTTCTTGGTGAGGAAAGCCAATTTTCTTTCATAAGTTTTCAGATCCATTGACTATATTTGGGAAAGGGGTCCAAAGTTTGTTGATAACTCCAAAGTCAATGGTTGACTTTTCTACAAGTGGTGGGTGAAAAGTTCTGTGGCTAATTATGATGGACTGCGTTGTTTGGAGTTGGTTGCAAATTATTTTGTAACTTACCGTATTCGATGTAATAAGCGCCCAGGGCGCTCACAAAATTAGAAATAGGGGCCTCTTATTTGAATATTATTTTGGTGAAAAAGACATTTTGAAAGATAAATTTCGTGGTTTATGCTAACAGCCTGAACTGTTTATATACGAGAGATACATTTTTCCAGAATTTAAATGCCCTTAATTAAGGATGCATATAACACACGTACGTATTATACGCGAATAAATAAGTGTTGTGTACATTGATCAATCGGAAGGGGTGCTAATTGGTATTGTTCACTAGCCAATATATTAGCAAATATCGCCGTGGGTGCTATTTAGAGCAGGGCGCTTATTACATCGAATACGGTAATCCTCTCTAAGGTCTCCACACTTCTACCATCAATGCTGGAGTGCCTGAATCCAACTGGTGGTGAAGAAGTCCTTCACAACAGAAATGACGTCATCATTTGCATAATGCTTGCCAGACAGTCCTTTCTTCATGTTCGGGAAGAGGTGGAAATCTAAGGGTGCCAAATCTGGTGAATGTGGACGATGTTCAATGTCTTTAGCAACAGGTGCATGGCCGCCATTGAGAGAGACTTGTGTACATATGCTTTGTCCGGGTGAAACAACACGCCTTTAGTTTTATTCCACCAACGTTTAGCCTTGATATTCCCTCGTAGTTGGCTCTGCAGACTAGCATGATATTTGCCATTACTTGTCTGACCCATCGGCTTTCACAAAGTAGTCCACCAGTAGGATTCCTCTGGAAGTGGAACCCCAGAAAACCAAAGCCATGTCACCTTGCCAGCTGATGAAACAGTCTTTGTCATCTACTTTGTGGGAGGAGACATTATATTTTGTACTGCTTTGACTGTCCTTATTTCTTTAGACGGTTGTTCTGGTAGTGGACCCAAGACTCATTTATAGTTCCAAATTGCTCAACTTCAGCTGAGTTTCCTTTGAAACGACGTAAATTCTTATGAGAGATGATGAACCTGGAACGTTTCTGATCAAGAATCGGAAGCTGGGGAACTCTCTGTCAAGCCCAGTTTATTGCTGAGAATGTTTGAAACTCTCTCTTGAGAGATACCTACTTTGTTGGCTATGCGACGTGCACTGATTCCCGGGTCATTCAAAATCATACCACATATTTTATCTACATTTTCCTTAGTGGTGACAGTAGAAGGTCTTCCTGATCTAGGATCGTCTTGGAGGCTCTCTCTTCCTCTCCTAAACTCCGCTGCCCACCTCTTAACAGTGGCAAAGGAAGGAGCATCGCTCCCTAAAGTTGACACCATGTCCGCATGTATGGCTGTTGGAGTTAGCCCTTTCAGATGAAGATATTTGATGACAGCTCGGTTGCCCATTTTGTCCATTTTAATCAACACAGAACTCAGGTCACACTTAAACAGAGAATACCTAGTGACCTTGATCCCTGCAGAAATATGCTGTCTGATTTTGTATTTGGTTCAAATTCAGCCTGTAAACCATGGAAAAGCGGCCCCAGACGTTTATGCATGCAAACTGAAGCTTGAGAGTGTACGACAATTAGGCTCAGAACTTTTCAGCCACCCCTCGTATTTCTTTGTAGTGAATATATATACGATATTGAATTGTCATCATATTCTACGAATTAAAAAGAATATAGATAACGGCTCTATTTTACAATCTGTGTAATACAAGTATTAATAATGAAAGTATACACTATAGTGCTGCTATATACAGTAGTAAATGTAAATTGATATACGAAACTACTAGGTGTCGCTTCAGCTAAACTCCAAACAGCGCATGCGTCACTCCCACGCCCGGCGTCATCCCTGTAAGGAGCACGTCAGCTATTCCAATATTTGTTTACATGCTTCAAGGTCCACTGTCGATAAGGAGCTGAAATGGTAATGTATACCGCAATTATACTTTACAAACTTCTTAGTAACTATTCTAACCTAAATGAAGTAGAATTACATTATACGTGTATGTTTGTTTTTTTCCATTCTGTAGGTTTATGAATGAGCTTCGTATTCACTAGGCCCTATCAGTCTGATAGTGATACTGAGCGCTAGCCTTGAGTTCATTGCCTGTAGCGACATTCGATGTAGAATCAACATGAAAACAATCGCTGTACATCCAGTAACCTAGAAGCTGTTATCAATAAAGATGTATGGTTTCTAATTTACTCCCCAACTTCTATGAAAATGCCATTCAAACAGTTACTGTAAGAGACTGTTATATAAGCCTAAGAGTTCACAGTGCTGACCCAGATCAAACATGGCCAAAGAGTGCGTGCAAGCATCAAGTTCAAACAGGTGTTTGACGAGAATAGATTGACTTTGATAAATGACCGGTCACAAAGTTTAATGTCAGGTAAAAAGTATAGGGCGATATGCAATTATTGTCATTAATGACATAAGGCTCGAAGTGTGAGGGACTGGTAATTGAGTTTAATCAGGTGTGTGATGGTGGGCAGAAAAAAGCTATTTATTAGATTCTATATACTACAGTGTACAAGACTGAGTTTTCGGAAGTTGAGAAAAGTGATATTTTCTTGCAGTGAACATAACACCTAATATTTCTCTGCAGTGAACATAACACTTTGACGGAACTATTATCATACATGAGTTACCTCCCCTCAAATTGTCTCCCTTTACCGTAAGTGTCTAGCCCGTTCACAAACTGTTGGCCTCCTTTTTAATTTTATGTAAGTTACCCATTGACAAGGCAAAATAATGACAGCTTTACACCACTTGTGAAAATATCTTGTTCAATTGAAAAAGCTACACAAAAGAGGGATAGGGGGTCAGCAAAATATGAGGCTGTCCTAACTCCCCACCCACCCACCCCTAATAGATGAACAGTCCCTATAAAGACTTAGATCTACGTCATTTTGTAATTTACAACTTCACTTTAGCCCATCCTTAACTGACCCTGTCACTCATGATTATTACCAATTATGAATCAGCACACACAATGTGCTAGTTGATTTGTAAACACATAAATGTATGGTGTGTGTTTATTTAATCTGGTTCAGGCCTGTCCTTTAATGTGGTAACTGACTGTCACTGACAATAGGCCATATTGTATGTCAGTCAGAGGATAGTCTCTATTCTACTAAATATAGATGATGCATCGGCATGATAAGTGCTCTTGCATGCTTGTGCATCCTGTTTGAGCTAAGATTTGGAATTTGATTTTCCTGTGGATAAAAACCCACTTTAACTGATTATAAAACATATTTGTGTGATCTGGGTACAACAATTATAGTTATTAAAGTTGATGGTTGCTCAGTTTTTCTGTGACCAGATACCATGTCTCATTACCAGACATGTTTGAAGCATATTGCACTGTGAAAATTGTGATCAACAAGAATTTGATGTCTCTCAGTGCAGTGTTGTGTCCCCTTATAACAGCCTGAGTCCTTTAGTGGGTTTGAATCCCGGATTCTCTGATGGTGCTCAGTGGGTTGTTGGCTCCATACTGTCCTCATTACTGTGTACTGTGGCGGAAGGTCCAGGGTTCGATCCCGGGCCGCGTCATACAAAAAGACGTTAAAAGATTGTACTTGTTGTTACCCTGTCTGGCGCTCGGCATTAAGGGGCTAAAACAAGGACTGGTCGGCTCGGAGTCAGTATACTGTGTCTGAGTGGGGTATTCATGTTAAACTGCGGCATGGTATCTCAGTGAGCTAGCACTATAAATCGGCATCAGTCCGGACTAGTACAAGCAGCCACACACACACATACACGTGCATGCACGTCGCTATATAAGTGACGTTAAACCCAATTTCACCTCACCTCACCTGTGTACTGTGATTGGTATACTTCAGGCTGGGTGATCAACCAAGCCAGGAGCCAAGCGATAGCCTGTTGAGATTATTCTCGGATTGATAATTAATTATCTTTGATTATTTATCAGTAATTAATTATATTATAACCTTTCATTTAGTTCATGTGTGAAATATCAACCATAAATAGGACACCTTCAAAGCCATCATTTTGAATCAGATACTTTACAAACACAGTGATTGGTTCAGTGCTGATTCTCCATGGTATGTAAGGTCGCTATATGGCTGAAATAATGCCGATGTGACGTTAAATTTTAACTCGCTCACACTCCATGGTTTTGCCTTTACACCTTGTGTGTGTGTGAGAGAAAGAGAGGCTGTTGTTAGTATACTTTATCATTAAAATGATTGCAGCCTTATCTAAGTGTTGCAGTATGACATGGGGGTATTTGTGTGAGACAATGAGACAAACCCATTACCGAATACCAATTTTTTAATTTGTTTGTTGTTTAACGCAACACTCAGCAATATTCCAGCTAAATGATGTCAGCCTATTAATAATCACCCAGACCAGACAATCCTATGATTGATATTAACACAAGATAAATGGATCCAGTGTTTGGGATTGCTTCACACAGGTGACCTGTACTAGATTTGTGGAGCCCCTGTGAACAGTATCCAGGTGTGAAACAGATGTAGTCTGGCATAAAATGTGTGTAATGACCTGTCTGCGAGAAATGTATGGCGTGACAGCTGCCCACAGTGAGACCCAAAACAAACCTTGGACAATGATTCAGAACAGCTGTTGATTTTGAGTAACTCAAATTAAAAAATGTGTGGGTCCTACATGTATCTCCAACTGGAACATTAGGGGTGACACAGGGTGATGCCCCAGATCATTGCAAGTTTTCATGTATCGATCCGATACACAATATTTTTGTTCTGTATCGATACAAGACAATACACTTGCTAAAATACATTGCTTACGACTCGTATAATGACACCCCCAGCAATTATGTCAGTCACATATTGCAAATTGACTTGAGATATGTCTTCCAAGTTCCAAACTAAAAGAAGCCGCCATGAACATGTGTCTACAGCTAGCAATTCCTTTTGAACTTGCTCTGAAATATTTAGAGTCAAGAAGTTGCCATGGGATATGACAGAAATATGTGTGTCACGATACATATGATACCGTGATCATATCACCCCATTGGAACATGTGTGACCATAATGTCACTAGGGTCTGATCCCCATGAGGTACCATATTCTACCTTTCTCCATGAGGTACCATGTTCCTCCTTTCCCCACAGGGTTCCATGTTCCTCCTTTCCCCACAGGGTACCATATTCCTCAATTCTCCACGGGGTTCCATATTCCTCACAGGGTTCCAAATACCTCCATTCTCCACGGGGTTCCAAATTCCTCCATTCTCCATAGGGATCCATATTCCTCAATTCTCCATAGGGATCCATATTCCTCCATTCTCCACGGGGTTCCAAATTCCTCCATTCTCCACGGGGTACCATATTCCTCAATTCTCCATAGGGATCCATATTCTCCATTCTCCACGGGGTTCCAAATTCCTCCATTCTCCACGGGGTTCCATATTCCTCCATTCTCCACGAGGTACCATATTCCTCCATTTTCCATGGGGTTCCATATTCCTCCATTCCTACAAGGGTTCCATTTTCCTGCATTCTCCACGGGGTTCCATATTCTTCCATTCTCCATAGGGTTCCCCATGGGGTACCATATTCCTCCATTCTCCAAGGGGTTCCAAATTCCTACATTCTCCATAGGGATCCATATTCCTACATTCTCCATGGGGTTCCATATTCCTCCATTCTCCCTGGGGTTCCATATTCCTCCTTTCCCCACAGGGTACCATATTCCTCCACAGGGATTATCCTGGAATTTTTTACCTTGTGATTTTTTGGCGTGTGATGAGATTTTGCTAATTTTCAGAGATATTTCGTCTTCACACAGTGGAAACTGTATTTGATTTTTGGTACTTGTGACTTGCATAATGTCGCAATTAATGTTACAAGATTACATGGATATATCCACGGATATCCAATTTTTGAACATTCATTACTCCACTGCGCATATCTAAAAATATAAGCATTAGTATTAACAAAACATTTCTTCACTATTTATTTTTCTGTTGATTGTCTACTTTAGCATGTTTAGGAGATATTCGACTAATATTTATGTATTTCTTTTCATTGTCAACTTTATGGGGAATTTTTTGTGAGGACAATTATAGATCGTTTAGGAGGCATGTTTACCACCTTCAGCTGTTCATTTCATTGGCATGCAGGAGACAACAATCTGCAGTTATCAAATTTTGACAATGTGTGTTTATATCGTAACTTAATATATTCAAAATGATGAAATGAAATAGCGACAGTTTGTTGGCAAAAAATACATTACTTACATTCCAGTTCTTTTGTCAATTTTGCTGCCTTATTTCTGTCTGTGGTGCCCAGGTCTCTGGCCGTATCAAATTAAATCTGATCAATATGGACCTTTCAGTTAATTAGAAGTGACAGTTCAGTATACAACGACTATTCCTCCAGGTTCACCCTTTTGTGTAATTAGCAACAATTATGTTATTTATTTCCCTGCAGAAGGCGGCATGTTTGCCATGTGCAGCAGCCAGTAATGGCACCGGAAGTTGAAAAGACTGTTGACATTTACGATGTTTATGAATTACATTTGAAAGATTAAGTCACAGTTTTCAAGTTTTATTGACAACGAGGGTATGTTCATGAAAACTCTTATCTGAAGGGTAGGCGAATCTCGTCTAAAATACGATCGTTTATGATCTGAAATTTGTAGTTTATTATGGAGAAAGAGTTGTAGGTATATTCATTTAGTTTTTGTTTTGTTGTCATTCCAAAATCGAAATGTGGTTGTGTTTTAAAACTTTACCTGTAATTGCCTTTTTGTCTCTTGATACATGTACGTCTTTGATTTCTGCAAGGATTTAAGTTTTTAAAAAATACTTTCAATGACTTGGTGTTGTAGATCATGAAATAGGATTTTCGTGGGCTACCAAAGTGTATTTATTGTAAAAAACAAACACTCGTTTTGATAATCATGGATTAAAAAATGTTGCGCGCTCTACCATTGTCAGCTGATGCAAAGTTCCATGCAGTGATATAGGAATCGGTTTTGCACAGTAAAAGATAGCATGCAGTGTTGCGAGTATGCAAATCTCTGTTTCGATTGACAACTTTTGACGATTGAATAAACTACTGTGTAAGTTTTTTTGTTGACATTTCTAGGTACGGTAGATGATTTTATTCAAGCAATACAACATTTTCGATTTTTGTAGGTGAAAATGAGAGTGTCAGTGTAGATAAAACTATTGAAAGTTGTACCCGATTTTCAATCGCGCCGATTGAATGTTGATGCGATATTCACGACAACTATGCAAGAATATCGCAGAATCATGACCTAAGTCAGCCCCTGCTCCATTCCCCTCGGGATGCCATGTTCCATCATTATCCATGGGGCCCCTGGAGTACCAGCAGCACTAGTAGAAAGAGGCTGAGTGTTCCTCAACAAACAGAGGGGTGATGTAATGAAAAAACACTGATAGGAAACCTCGTCCTCCAACCTAGCATGAGGTGTCATTGCTTGTCATATGCTAACAGCTTTGTTTTAAGTACTATCTGTCTCTTGCAGCTAGCTTCTATAAACAGAGGGGTGGGAGGGTTGATATGAGATGTTTATGTGTGGCAGTGGCATAGCATGTCATTTTGTGTTATCACTGAATGTTGACAGGCAGCAGAGGACCCCAACGCCTGGAAGAAGGCCACCTCCATCTATGAGTTTACTGCCAAGGACATTGATGGCAATGATGTTTCCCTGGACAAATACAGGTATATGACACAATCCATGTAACAGGTAGATGACACAATCCAGGTAACAGGTATATGACACAATCCAGGTAACAGGTATATGACACAATCCAGGTAACAGGTATATGACACAATCCAGGTAACAAGTATATGACACAATCCAGGTAACATGTATATGACACAATCCAGGTAACAGGTATATGACACAATCCAGGTAACAGGTATATGACACAATCCAGGTAACATGTATTTGACACAATCCAGGTAACAGGTCATGTCATGTAGTGGTGTAACGATACATAGAGGATATTATATAAGAATTCATGTTATACTATATTTGTCTGGTAAAACTTGGTTTGTCTGAGTGTCTGGTAAAACTTGGTTTGTCTGAGTGTCCGGTTAAACTGGAATTTAGGCACAAGTGTTATACATAGTTTGACATAAACACGAATATAATGTTCAGTTTATTACCGAAGAAGATGTCTACATACAAAGACAAATTTTAGTGTTTACCTATAAGGACAGCAAGTCACAACAGCAGCGGATTTGTCAAATGACGTTAACAGTCTTCAGCTTTGACATCGTTTCTAGTGTGACGTCATTCCGACATCATGTCACAATATGATTCGTCATACATGTCATACTCTGTTGTCACGTGATGTAATATAGGGCACATAAGATTTTTATGAACCCTGATATATTAGCCCTCGTAAGTAACAAAGTGATATAGTGTTGTGTCATGACATGACGCCCACGATTGAATATATCGATTTGCGATCCCTGTATCGCGATATACGTATGATACATGTCAGTACAAGTTATTTTGGTGTGAATAATAACGGAAACTGTTCAACAACCAGCTCATGCAGATTCTCTGGTATTTCATGGTTGGACATAAATAGCATAACATTCACAGCGCCCTTTACCAATATGTGTCTGCCCTAGAATATCCCATATTTGATTTTTGAAATTTAATAACAAATGATTCAGGGTTGTCAACCACCTGCTAAATGAATATCAACTTGAGAAAAAAAAGTACTGTATCAGAGTACGAATCATATTGCACAGACAGTATCAGGATACATATTGTATTGCGACCCCACCATATCGTTATACCTCTAATGTCATGTATATGATTAAAAAGATGAACATGCTGTTTGAACATAAAACATGTTTTAGTCTGTTTTCAGTCGTATAATTGGGTATCTCATACCTCTAGTCGCACGTTAAAAGGAAGCTAGAAGCTGGAATGTAAACAATAAACTTGTTTCCGTCCGGTTGCGCACGCACCTCCCGATGACATGCCACAAATCTCTCAGCGCGCCTCTGAGCTGGTCGCTCGAGAAGGACTTTCGCGATAGACTGCTAGTTTGTATTCTACTAGTCCGTATCGTGTGTCTACAGTTGTTGTTCTAATACAGTAATAATACTATGTCTTACCTGTAGACTCCTGGAATGTAATCATTGGTAATCCATTGTTTGGGTTCAACACGTGTTTCACTTGATTATACACGTGGCAACATGTCGGGCATTTGTGCCTCGTGTCAAGGACAACTGTCTAAAGTAGATCCTAACAAGTATTGTCCTTCCTGCATAAATAAGGACGGGCTTTCAACGTCTTCGTGGAATAAACGTTGTTAAGAATGTGAGCATTTGTCTTCTATCAACTTTAACTTGTATCTTCGTGCGTTGGCGAAGCGGGCTACTGACCAGCGCTACAGGCAGAGGAGGTCATCGGGTGGATCCTTGGACTCTGCACCCCCTACATCTGGCCCTGGGGGTGGCGCGTCGGCCACACCCAAGAAATCAGTTGAAAAAGACCCGCCTCAGTCAACTTATGTTTTTTGACAAGACACGGGACCGTTCGCCTGCTGATGATACTACGCGCACGACTGATCTTCGTCAATCGGTTGATCGAGAGCGTCACTCAGCCACCCCCGTTACGACGGGACCGGGTGGTGACGAGGACCACGAGGGGACTACGGTCCCCAGTCGGTCCGTCTCTCGTCCTACCAACGACGATAGGAACGTCGTGCGGGTCGACAGTGAACACAGATCCCTCTCTAGAAGTTGTTCCAGTTCACGGGACGACAGGTCGAGGGCCTCGTTGAGTGACAGTAAACGACACGAGGACGTTCGTCGCCTTCGAGGTCGTCGGGAGTTCGATTCGGACGATAACTACGATGGGGATCGTAGTACTTCTACAGTTAGAGATCGTAGCCCTCGCCCCCACGGGGACGTGCGACGCCTTCGAAGGGAGTTTTGGGGAGATCAGCGTCGTAGAGATAATGATCGATCGTGACCCTCGTCTCACTTTCATATTGACCCGGCTTTGATAGGCCAGATGACGGCGGCGGTACTCGCCTTGACGGCGTCGACCGAGAAGGGTTCGTCTACGTCGGAGGTCCATGGACCATCGTCCTGTACACCGGTTCCTTCATCTACGCCTACACAATCGACGTCGACGATGGATTGTGACGACAGCGTCGTAGAGATAATGATCTATCGTGACCCTCGTCTCACTTTCATATCGACCCGGCTTTGATAGGCCAGATGACGGCAGCGGTACTCGCCTTGACGGCGTCGACCGAGAAGGGTTCGTCTACGTCGGAGGTCCATGGACAATCGTCCTGTACACCGGTTCCTTCATCTACGCCTACACAATCGATGTCGACGAAGGATTGTGACGACAGCGTCGTAGAGATAATGACCGATCGACACCCTCGTCTCACTTTCATATCGCTCCAGCTTTGATAGCCCAGATCACGACGGCGGTACTCACCTCCAGGGCGTCGACCAAGAAGGATTCGACTACGTCAGAGGTCCATGGACCATCGACCAATACACCAGTACCTTCATCTACATCTACACAATCGACGTCGACGATGGATTGTGATGACAACCTGGCTATGGCTTGGCTATCTCACTTTTCTGCCTGAGTTATCAAAAGATGATGACAAACCGACGTGTGCTGGCTTAAAGGTTGGAGATACGCCGCAGTCTCTTCAGTCTTCTCCTCCCAATGTCTTCAGAGCCATGGTTCACGATATGGACCAGAACTTGCCTCTGCTCTGCCGGGGCAGAGTTTCAGCAAACCACCTGTTCGATCGCGTTACCCGATCTATGGCATGCCGTTTTCGTCACCCATGAGTAGGGACTTGGATTGGGGGCTACTCTTCAAGAAACCAGCGCCCTCCAAGATTCTTGTAGTAGACAGGCATTGGGGTTCCATGGACACTGCTGTTCGTCTCCAGCTACAACCGCTTGCTATGCTGTCGACAGCGAGCCGGCGGGGGAGGTAATGAGGTCCCTTTTCCCCGCCGTCACCGTCGTCGGAGCCTACTACCTTTAGACGAGCTACCGGTAGGGGGAAGACTTCATCACACGGATCATGAAGACGGTCGTAGAATGGCTCCGTCGGCAGGCGATCAGGGTCGCCTTCTACCTAGACGAGCCGTCTCCTACGGGCGACAGGCTCACTAAAATACCGGAATTGCAGAAAATTCTACGTGCCTTCATGGTTGAAGATGAGTCACATTAATTCCGCCTGCCGGCCTGGGACCTCGATATCGTTCTGCGCTACCTGTCTAGTTAGACTTACGAGCCTCTCGATCAGGTCGCCTTCGACATTGTCTCCAACTAGAAGTACTGCTCGTATTTTTTAGTTACCTTGTATACTGCGAGTTGCTCTGTAACTAAATTATGCGCCGACCACACTTCGATCGCATTTCATCTGTCGTGTGCAGTTGTCATGTCGCATCGATAATTTGTTGTGTGTCGAAGAGCATTAACCATGCTATTTTTCGTTACCTTGGATACGACGAGTCGTTCTGAACCACTTTATATACCGTCCACACTTCGATCGCAATTCAACTGTCGTGTGCAGTTGTCCTGTCGCTTCGATAGTTACTTGTGGGCCGAAGAGCATTAAACATGCTGTTTTAGTTACCTTGTATACTGCGAGTTGCTCTGTAACTAAATTATGCGCCGACCACACTTCGATCGCAATTCATCTGACGTGTGCAGTTGTCATGTCGCATCGATAATTAGTAGTGTGTCGAAGAGCATTAAACATGCTGTTTTAGTTAACTTGCCTACGACAAGTCGTTCTGTAACTACATTATAAGCCGACCACGTTTCGATCGCACCTCAACTGACGTGTGCAGTTGTCCTGTCGCATCGATACTTACTTGTGGGTCGAAGAGCATTAAACATGCTGTTTTAGTTACCTTGGATACGACGAGTCGTTCTGAAACTAAATTATATGCCGTCCACACTTCAATTGCAATTCAACTGTCGTGTGCAGTTGCCTTGTCGCATCGATACTTACTTGTGGGTCGAAGAGCATTAAAGATGCTGTTTAGTTACCTTGTATACTGCGAGTTGCTCTGTAACTAAACTATACGTCGACCACTTCGATCGCCGTTCAACTGACGCGTGCAGTTGTCCTGTCGCATCAATAATTAGTAGTGTGTCGAAGAGCATTAAACATGCTGTTTTAGTTACCTTGCCTACGACGAGTCGTTCTGTAACTACATTATAAGCCGACCACGTTTCGATCGCACCTCAACTGACGTGTGCAGTTGTCCTGTCGCATCGATACTTACTTGTGGGTCGAAGAGCATTAAACATGCAGTTTTAGTTACCTTGGATACGACGAGTCGTTCTGAAACTAAATTATATGCCGTCCACACTTCGATTGCAATTCAACTGTCGTGTGCAGTTGCCTTGTCGCATCGATACTTACTTGTGGGTCGAAGAACATTAAAGATGCTGTTTAGTTCCCTTGTATACTGCGAGTTGCTCTGTAACTAAACTATACGTCGACCACTTCGATCGCCGTTCAACTGACGCGTGCAGTTGTCCTGTCGCATCGATAATTAGTTGTGTGTCGATGAGCATTAACCATGTTGTGCGTTTGTGATAAACAATTTGTCTCGTCCGTGCATCTGGTCGAATGTTCTATTGTCACTACGGGGGTGAGGAACTTGGTACATTCGACGTGCAAGAGGTCACTTCCGGATTACTTTCCAGACCCTCCTTCCAGTGTTCCGTCGAATTCTACCCAATTGTACGACTGAAAACAGACTAAAACATGGGTTTTTCAGATTAAAAACGATGTTTTATTGGTCTGTTTTCAGTCGTACGTTCCCACCCAGCCATCCCCACTGGGAAGTAATCCAGTCCAGTCCTGCTTGATGGCTTATTCTTCGAGATTTGTGGCATGTCATCGGGAGGTGCGTGCGCAACCGGACGGAAACAAGTTTATTGTTTACATTCCAGCTTCTAGCTTCCTTTTAACGTGCGACTAGAGGTATGAGATACCCAATTGTACGACTGAAAACAGACCAATAAAACATCGTTTTTAATCTGAAAAACCCATATTTCTTTGTATCTAACAGAAAAAGATGAAAAATACGATCTTGTGCTAATCATGAAAGAACATGATGTTTTGAGGTAGTGAGTATTGTTTTACGCTGCATTTAGCACTATTCCAGCAATATCATGATGGGGGACACCAGAAATTGGCTTCACACATTGCACCCATGATGTATTGATAATTAAGAAATAGTTATGTTATATTCATAGAGTCGTTCATGTTTTAGTTCAAGTCACAGTATTTCATTTACTTCAATTTACAGTTTTTATGTGCTCAGGATGCAAAATTTCAAGTCCCTGTCCCACACAGCTTCAAGTTAAGTGTGCACATGGTGTGATTAATGTGATTTTGGTCAAGTGGAACACGATCTGCTTAGTAAAATCCTGTTTCAGTGCATACTTACATATCTTGTTTCCCGTTTTTTATGTGAGTTATGGGTGTAAGGAATGTCACATCAACTACAGAAAGTGAAACAAATGAGCTGTTGCTATGGTTGCATTGCAACCTGCCACATGTTTGAAACAGATGGTCATTATTAAATGTTTGTGTGCAGGAATAAATGTCTAAACACTCCATCATGCTGAATTGTGACAATATATGTTACATGTATATGCAGAGCATGGTTTAACTTCTCTTTCACCTTATAACATGACTATAGGATCTGTTGGTCGTGGGTATGTTCCAAGATTAGCCCCGATTACGATTGCTGTTCTTCAGAAATATATGATACTTATGGGGTTTATGCAAGTGAGAGATATGAACCACAATACTCATGATATGCCTTTGAAAGAAGAATACTGGTTGCTGCGAACTGACATAGTCCTTATGTGTTTGTATCCAATACATTTTGTATTTATTTATGGCCTGAGGCCCTCGTTCAAATAGATTTCTTCTTCTTCTTCTCTTCCACTTTTCTTTTTCCTCTTCTCTTTTTCACAATCTTCTCTTCTCCATCTTCTTTTCTCCATCTACTCTTCTTCCCTTCTTCTCCATCTTCTCTTCTCCATCTACTCTTCTTCCCTTCTCATATTCTCTTCCCTTCTTCTCCATCTTCTTTTCTCCATCTACTCTTCTCCCCTTCTTCATCTTCTCTTCTCCTTCTTCTCTTCTACTTCTTCCCTTCTTCCCTTCTCCATCTTCTCCGCTACTTCTTCTCTTCTCCCCTTCTCCTTCATCTTCTCTTCCCCATCTTCTCTTCTTATCTACTCTTCTTCCCTTCTCATATTCTCTTCCCTTCTTCTCCATCTTCTCTTCTCCATCTACTCTTCTCCCCCTCTTCTTCATCTTCTCTTCTCCATCTTCTCTTCTACTTCTTCTCTTCTCCATCTTCTCTTCTCCCCTTCTTCATCTTCTCTTCTCCATCTACTCTTCTCCCTTCTTCATCTTCTCTTCTCCATCTTCTCTTCTACTTCTTCCCTTCTCCATCTTCTCTTCTCCCCTTCATCTTCTCTTCTCCATCTACTCTTCTTCCCTTCTCATATTCTCTTCCCTTCTTCTCCATCTTCTCTTCTCATCTTCTCTTCTCCCCTTCTTCATCTTCTCTTCTCCATCTTCTCTTCTCCATCTACTCTTCTCCCCTTCTTCTTCATCTTATCTTCTCCATCTTCTCTTCTACTTCTTCCCTTCTTCTCCATCTTCTCTTCTACTTCTTCTCTTCTCCCTTTCTTCTTCTTCTTCTCTTCTCCATCTTCTCTTTCACTTCTTCCCTTCTCCATCTTCTCTTCTTCTCTTCTTGCCTTCTTCTCCATCATCTCTTCTACTTCTTCTCTTCTTCCCTTCTCCATCATCTCTTCTACTTCTCTTCTTCCCTTCTTCTCCATCATCTCTTCTACTTCTCTTCTTCCCTTCTTCTCCATCATCTCTTCTACTTCTCTTCTTCCCTTCTTCTCCATCTTCTCTTCTACTTCTTCTCTTCTCCCTTTCTTCTTCTTCATCTTCTCTTCTCCATCTTCTCTTCCACTTCTTCCCTTTTTCTCCATCTTCTCTTCTACTTCTTCTCGTCTTCCCTTCTTCTCCATCATCTCTTCTACTTCTTCTCTTCTTCCCTTCTCCATCATCTCTTCTACTTCTTCTCTTCCCTTCTTCTCCATCATCTCTTCTACTTCTCTTCTTCCCTTCTTCTCCATCATCTCTTCTACTTCTCTTCTTCCCTTCTTCTCCAACATCTCTTCTACTTCTTCTCTTCTTCCCTTCTTCTCTATCATCTCTTCTACTTCTTCTCTTCTTCTCCATCATCTCTTCTACTTCTCTTCTTCCCTTCTTCTCCATCATCTCTTCTACTTCTTCTCTTCTTCCCTTCTTCTCCATCATCTCTTCTACTTCTTCTCTTCTTCCCTTCTTCTCCATCATCTCTTCTACTTCTTCCCTTCTTCTCCATCATCTCTTCTACTTCTCTTCTCCCTTCTTCTCCTTCTTCTCTTCTCATCTACTCTTCTTCCCTTCTTCACACCTTTTCTTCTCCAACCGCTCTTTTTCCCATCGTCTCCCCTCTTCCCCTTTTCTTCCTCTTATCTTCTACTTCTCTTCTTCCTCATCATCTCCTCTTCAACTTGTCTTTTTCCTCTCTTCCTTCCTTAATCTTCTCTTCCTCATCTTCTTTTCTTTTCCTTCTCTTCTTCATCTTCCCCTCTGCTACCCCTTCTTTGTCTTTTCTTCCCCCTCTTCTTCCCCCTCTTCTTCCCCTTTTTCCCGTCTTCCTCTGATCTTCTTCCTCTTTTATTCTTTTCTCGTCATCTTCTTCTTCTCCCCTTCTCATACTGCCTCCAGTGCTCTAGGCTAAAACTACTATCAATATCATTTATATTGTATACAATTGTCTCTAAGTGGCACCCACTTGTAGGTCAATACATTTAATACACGTCTTACCCGGTATATGTAATTCTAAAGCCCCTGGTATGAAATCATATTGGAATACATCGCAACACGTAAACACACATCTACGTGGAAATTGCCAGGATATTCTTCACCCCAAAAATAGCAGTTGCTGCCCGTGAAGATTCCGGGTTTAGAATAGGTCTTCAGCAACCCATACTTGCTGTAAAAGGTGACTATGCTTGTCGTAAAAGGCGACTAACGGGATCGGGTGGTCAGGCTCGCTAACTTGGTTGATACATGTCATCGATCCCAATTGCACGGATTGATGCTCATCTTGTCAGTCACTGGATTGTCTGGTCCAGACTCGATTATTTTACAGACCACCCTCATATAGCTGGAATATTGCTGAGTGCGGCGTTAAACAACAATAAACACAACAAAAAAACAATAGCAGTTGCAGCAACTAGTGTAAACCTGAACAACTTTGAATGTTGCAATGTGATTGGTCCATTTTATTGGCGATTTATATTACTAGACGAGAATCACATTTAGTCAGTAAATGGCTATGAAGCATTCGGGTAGCCATGGTGATGATGGTTACAAGGAGGAACATACATTACCTTGACTAATTGAGGAATCACAGTGAAAATTATTACTATATCAGCAGATTAGCACTAATTAGCAGATAATAAACATGATTAATGTTAGCATTTTTATATTCCAAATGACTTCAAGAGTAGGACTTTTCATTTATCTGTTAATGATAGTTGCCGTGTCTAACTTACCTCTAATAGAAGGTTTGAATTGAGAAATATTCAAAATGACAGCACTTGGATATGTGGAATAAGATTTTGATTACATATGATTAAAGCACAGGGTATTGTATGGGTAGATTGCGTGCAATTATGAACAATTTCTTGTCATGGTTGTGGTATAAATATCTTAAGAATGTATTTTGTGTTTTATCCATGGACCACCATGGTGACAAATGTTTGCCTGTCTTCCAGGGGCAACCTCGTCATCATAGTGAATGTGGCGTGTAAATGAGGATTCACCCAGAAGCACTACACTCAGCTACAAAAATTGTACGCCGATTATGCTGAGTCGCAGGGCTTGAGAATCCTTGGTTTCCCGTGCAACCAGTTCGGGGGGCAGGTCAGTATGAGGGAGTGTGAGTCATTCATCACGGAATGATACTTGAAATATGCTGAATTGGGAGAAACAGCAACATTTTTATCCCCCTGGCATATAATATTAATCTTTAAAAAAGTTCATTATGACTTTATGATGCTCATGTCGCCTGTATGATGAAACAGCAACAAAGGTACTGCCTTCACAATGTGGGGTGGAAACAGTTGTACGGGAAACCGTATTTGTTAATGTGATTTATGACCATGCGTTAACATACAAGTGTTATGTGAATGGAAAACAAGCAATTCACTCTTGAGTGTGTTTTTTGAATTAATCTCTTAAAAATATATTTTTTAAAAATTGTGTACATTAATTGTTTGTGGTTTAAACGTGAAAATTTACCAGTTGTTAGAAATTAATTGCTGTAATTGTTGTCATGTTTACCCAAAACAATGATTTCCTGTGTACAACTTACACATGAGTGTGTTCAGCATGTTAAGACTGCTTCCAAGGGGTGTTGATGGTGCCAATGCTAAGGATGGATACACTGGGTCCTAATGCAGGACATGCACTAACAAAATCTTTGACAAATGTCAAGGAAAATTTGATATTTTGTAAGTCAGGTTTTAGACCTTTATCAACTCATGTTGATATATTTGACATCAAAAGACCGCGGATGAGATTCTCTGGTTTCGGAATGAGAATGAGAAGCCTTTGAGCTAGACATACTTGATATAGACAAACCCAACTCTTTTACATGTCATTTATCATATTTTTGACAAATTGTGAAGATCTGGGTTCGAATTGGTCTTCAGCAACCCATGCTTGTTGTAAGCTGCGACTAACGGGATTGGGTGGTCAGGCTTGGTGGCTTGGTTTATGCATGACATTGTCTCCCAATTGCATAGATCAATGCTCATGTCAATCACTTGATTGTCTTGTCCAGATTCAATTATTTACAGACAGCTGTCATATAGCTAGAATATTGCTGAATGCAGCATTAAACAAAAAACAAGATATTCATAACACATAGAAATACTTTAACCATGTTGACACAGGGAAATCTGTCTGAAGGAGAGTTGCAATGTTGTCATGTTGTAGGAGCCATGGCCGAATGATCAAATCCAAAGGTTTGTGAAGAAGGAGTTTCAAGTTGGGTTTGACATGTTCAGCAAGATTGAAGTCAATGGAAACAATGCACATCCACTATTTAAGTTCCTTAAGGAGAAACAAAAAGGTCTATTTGGAAAGTAAGTACTGCCATTGTGAATGTCTTAAGCCCTGTTTGTATGAGTGATAAGATTCATATAACTATACAGTAGATAGAGGACTGCACATTTGTGTTGATTGAAATAGTACCATTTGTGATGCATTTGTGTTGATTGAAGTACTGCAATTTCAAGCACATTTACGTTGATTGAGGTACTGAAATTTGTAGCACATTTGTGTTGATTGAAGTAGTGCAATGTCGAGCACATATGTGTTGATAGAAGAACTGCCATTTGTGACACATTTGTGTTGATTAAAGTTAAGTACTGCAATTTGTAGCACATTTGTGTTGATTGAAGTACTGTAATTTCATGCACATTTATGTTGATTGAAGTACTTCAATTTGTAGCACATGTGTGTTGATTGAAGTACTGCAATTTGTAGCACATGTGTGTTGATTGAAGTATCGCAATTTGTAGAACATTTGTGTTGATTGAAGTACCACAATTTGTAGCACTTGTGTGTTGATTGAAGTACTGCAAGTTGTAGCACATTTGTGTTGATTGAAGTACTGCAATTTGTAGCACATTTGTGTTGATTGGAGTACCACAATTTGTAGCACATTTGTGTTGATTGAAGTACCGCAGTTTGTAGCACATTTGTGTTGGTTGAAGTACTGCAATATGTAGCACATTTGTGTTGATTGGAGTACTGCAATTTGTAGCACATTTGTGTTGATTGAAGTACTGCAATTTGTAGCACATTTGTGTTGATTGAAGTACCACAATTTGTAGCACATTTGTGTTGATTGAAGTACTGCAATTTGTAGCACATTTGTGTTGATTGGAGTCCTGCAATTTGTAGCACATTTGTGTTGATTGAAGTACCACAATTTGTAGCACATTTGTGTTGATTGAAGTACCGCAATTTGTAGCACATTTGGGTTGATTGAAGTACCACAATTTGTAGCACATTTTTGTTGATTGAAGTACTGCAATTTGTAGCACATGTGTGTTGATAGAAGTACTGCCATTCGTGACACATTTGTGTTGATTGAAGTACTGCCATTTGTAGCACATTTGTGTTGATTGAAGTACTGTAATTTCACGCACATTTGTGTTGATTGAAGTACTGCAATTTGTAGCACATTTGTGTTGATTGAAATACTGCAATTTGTAGCACATTTGTGTTGATTGAAGTACTGCAATTTGTAGCTCGTTTGTGTTGATTGGAGTACTGCAATTTGTAGCACATTTGTGTTGATTGAAGTACCACAATTTGTAGCACATTTGTGTTGATTGCAGTACTGTAATTTCATGCACATTTATGTTGATTGAAGTACTGCAATTTGTAGCACATGTGTGTTGATTGAAGTACTGCAATTTGTAGCACAGTACTGCAATTTGTAGCACATTTGTGTTGATTGAAGTACTGCAATTTGTAGCACATTTGTGTTGATTGAAGTACTGCAATTTGTAGCACATGTCTGTTGATTGAGGTACTGCAATTTGTAGCACATTTATGTTGATAGATGTACCGCAATTTGTAGCACATTTGTGTTGATTGAAGTTCTGCAGTTTGTAGCACATTTATGTTGGTTGAAGAACTGCAATTTGTAGCACATTTGTGTTGATTGGAGTACTGCAATTTGTAGCACATTTGTGTTGATTGAAGTACTGCAATTTGTAGCACATTTGTGTTGATTAAAGTACTGTAATTTCACACACATTTATGTTGATTGAAGTACCACAATTTGTAGCACATTTGTGTTGATTGAAGTACTGCAATTTGTAGCACATGTGTGTTGATAGAAGTACTGCCATTTGTAGCACATTTGTGTTGGTTGAAGTACCACAATTTGTAGCACATTTGTGTTGATTGAAGTACTGCAATTTGTAGCACATTTGTGTTGATTGAGGTCCTGCAATTTGTAGCACATTTGTGTTGATTGAAGTACCACAATTTGTAGCACATTTGTGTTGATTGAAGTACCGCAATTTGTAGCACATTTGGGTTGATTGAAGTACCACAATTTGTAGCACATTTTTGTTGATTGAAGTACTGCAATTTGTAGCACATGTGTGTTGATAGAAGTACTGCCATTTGTGACACATTTGTGTTGATTGAAGTACTGCCATTTGTAGCACATTTGTGTTGATTGAAGTACTGTAATTTCACGCACATTTGTGTTGATTGAAGTACTGCAATTTGTAGCACATTTGTGTTGATTGAAATACTGCAATTTGTAGCACATTTGTGTTGATTGAAGTACTGCAATTTGTAGCACGTTTGTGTTGATTGGAGTACTGCAATTTGTAGCACATTTGTGTTGATTGAAGTACCACAATTTGTAGCACATTTGTGTTGATTGCAGTACTGTAATTTCACGCACATTTATGTTGATTGAAGTGCTGCAATTTGTAGCACATGTGTGTTGATTGAAGTACTGCAATTTGTAGCACATTTGTGTTGATTGAAGTACTGCAACTTGTAGCACATGTCTGTTGATTGAGGTACTGCAATTTGTAGCACATTTATGTTGATAGATGTACCGCAATTTGTAGCACATTTGTGTTGATTGAAGTACCGCAGTTTGTAGCACATTTATGTTGGTTGAAGTACTGCAATTTGTAGCACATTTGTGTTGATTGGAGTACTGCAATTTGTAGCACATTTGTGTTGATTGAAGTACTGCAATTTGTAGCACATTTGTGTTGATTAAAGTACTGTAATTTCACACACATTTATGTTGATTGAAGTACCACAATTTGTAGCACATTTGTGTTGATTGAAGTACTGCAATTTGTAGCACATGTGTGTTGATAGAAGTACTGCCATTTGTAGCACATTTGTGTTGGTTGAAGTACTGCAATTTGTAGCACATTTGTGTTGATTGAAGTACTGCAATTTGTAGCACATTTGTGCTGATTGAAGTACTGTAATTTGTAGCACATTTGTGTTGATTGAAGTTCTGCCATTTGTAGCACATTTGTGTTGATTGGAGTACTGCAATTTGTAGCACATGTGTGCAGATTGAAGTACCACAATTTGTAGCACATGTATGTTGATAGATGTACGCAATTTGTAGCACATGTGTGTTGATAGAAGTACTGCAATTTGTAGCACATTTGTGTTGATTGAAGTACCGCAGTTTGTAGCACATTTGTGTTGGTTGAAGTACTGCAATTTGTAGCGCATTTGTGTTGATTTGAGTACTGCAATTTGTAGCACATTTGTGTTGATTGAAGTCCTGCAATTTGTAGCACATGTGTGTTGATTGAAGTACTGTAATTTGTAGCACATGTGTGTTGATTGAAGTACTGCAATTTGTAGCACATTTGTGTTTATTGAAGTACTGCAATTTGTAGCACATTTGTGTTGATTGGAGTACTGCAATTTGTAGCACATTTGTGTTGATTGAAGTACCACAATTTGTAGCACATTTGTGTTGATTGAAGTACTGCAATTCGTAGCACATTTGTTTTGATGGTGTTTATGAGAGTTAGTGACCATTGTGACAAATGATGCAAATCTGAGTCTCATCGGTCCCAGTGATTGTTGCATTCATGTTCTCATGTTCAAGTGTGTCAGTCAGTATTGGTGGAAGTTTCAGTCAGACTGTTATCACTTCTATTTTTACAGGTTCAAAGCATGACTTGAAAATGCTTACTCCCATATATTTCTTTTCAGTTTTATCAAGTGGAACTTTACTAAATTCATCATTGATCGTGAAGGAAAACCTGTTAAGAGATTTGCCCCCAACACAGAACCATTGGTGGGTGATTTAGGCAATGGCAGTACATGTATTCATAAAAAATATTGATTGTTACATATTTTTATAAATGATATGAAAGCTCTTGAACTTTCAGCATTTCACTTTTGATTGCTGATAGCTTTAATGATAATAATTTTAGATGACTGCAAGATCCCTGCTTGACTGGCCCTAAGTGTAATGTGCAAAGTACCCTGTGATGATCTGGGTAAGGTGTCCAGAAACCCATACTTGTCGTAAGAGGCAGCTAATGGGATCAGGGGGCCAGGCTCGCTGACTAGGTTCAGGTTATCATATCTTGAAACAATTGATCGATGCTCATGAGGTCAATCACTGGATTGTCTTGTCCAGACTCTTATTAACAGATTGCCATCATATAGCTGGAATATTGCTGAGTATGACATTACACAACAAACAAACACAAAACAAAATGCAATGTGTTTAGGCATATGCATGTTTACATATATGATTTTGTTCATGCATCGCCATGTAACATAAGAAAATGATAAAAATGGTTTGCCCAGTATTCATGGTATTATTGTAGTCATCATGGCGAGAAAATACATGATGCACACAAAAAGCAAACAGTAGGCATGAATAGGTCATGAACTCATTTTGATAGGACGCAATAACCTAAACAACTAAATGTGTGATTCCTCCTGAGAAGGTCCGGGGTAGAATAGGTCTTCAGAAACCCATGCTTGCTGTAAGAGGTGACTATGCTTGTCGTAAGAGGCGACTAACGGGATCGGGTGGTCAGGCTTGCTGGCTTGGTTGATGCTTGTCATTGTATCCCAATTGTGTGGATCGATACTCATGATGTCAACCACTGGATTGTCTGGTCCAGACTCGATTATTTATAGCTGCAATATTGCTGAGTGTGGTATTAAGCAACAAACAAACAAACAAATAAATAGTGTGTGATTTCAAGGTTATGGAATTTACAGAGGCAAAGCGATGATGTGAACACTGAGTGGGATCATCGACCATTGCTTGAAGGCTGCCGGATAAAATAATTGTCACCATGTGCTTGGCATCATGATGACTGCTATACATGCTATAAATGACAAATGGACCGCCCCCGTGGTCTATTGGTAGAGCGTCCACCCAGAGAGTGGAAGGTCCAGGGTTCGATCACGGGCTTGTCATACCAAAAAGATGGTACTTGTTGTTACCCTGTCTGGCGCTCAGCATTAAGGGGCTAAAACAAGGACTGGTCGGCTTGGAGTCAGTATACTGTGTCTGAGTGGGTATTCTTGTTAAACTGTGGCATGGTATCTCAGTGAGCTAGCACTATAAATCGGCATCTGTCCAGACTAGTACAAGCAGCCACACACACAGATAGATGTGCATGCACATCGCTATATAAGTGCAATAATCTTGGACGCGACCTTAAACCCCATTTCACCTCACCTCACCTTAAATGACAATTTTTTAGGAATGGAATGGACATGGTGTCACAGGATCAGGCAGCTGCACCACTAGCATCACAACTTGTCCAGTGACAAGTCAAGGTTCATTCCCGATTTAAATATGACAGGAGTCGTGTTTAGAGACATGCCAATAAGCTCTATCAGCAGATTATTAAGTTTATCTGGGTAGTGACTTTTCTAGCTGAAAGTCCTGACCTTACTCAAAGGTTACAGGTCTTTGGGGTGGATGGGGTAATGGGGTAATGGGGTCTGTCCCCAAATTTGAAAATAACAGGGATTCCAATGGCCTGTAAACCCCATGTATCACTGGAATACTTGTGAACATCCTTATCAAGTGGACACTCCTCTCCACTGAAGGTTGCAATTCATAGACCAACCAGTCTGATTTGTGAAAACACTGTGCAAATATGTGGTTGGCAGGTGCTGCCGGTAGAGCGGGACATGCTTACCCTTTTTGTGAACACCTGGTGTCATCACTGATTTTCAGTGATCCATTCATATAATTTTCACCAGTTTTGCCTTTTATTCCCAATTGAACCTGTTTCATCCGATAATCAAGACTGGTTATTCTCTGGCGTTGATGTTTAATATTTAGCATGTTTAGATGTCGTTCGGTCTGCTCCTTCAAACCAAACTGTTTTCATTTGTTTGAATGTTTTGATGTTGTATATTTTCAGTCCATGTTGAAAGATCTTGAACCCTTCTTCAACAAGTAACCTCCCTTGATTGTCTCCCTCCACGACTGCCATGTAAAGCTTGAGGTCTTCAAGTCATCGTCCAGATCTTGTGTCGGTCTAGACCCAGCTTCAGTGTCAGTCAGAATTTATGAAGGTTGATCCCTAAACTTTAAAGGGGATTGACTGGATATGGTTTGCTGGCGTACAAACCACTCTGATTGGACACTGGGCAGTGCTGGACCTAGCTGGACATAACGATGGATAGTGACTAGTTGTATGTGTAATAGTATCCAATATGTACCTACAAGTCTATTTATATGTCAGATGTGTATATAACCGTTTAATGAGTGTGCATGAGGTTATTTTAAAGAAAGGTTGTAAGACAAGTTTCAGGAACTATTGGCAGTTGACAGTTTGGTTGATTCTGTTCAATATTCAGTGCCTGGTCATATGGGTGCTGTATTTGTTAATTTGCATTGACCTTGTTAAAACAGCTCTATTTTTTCCTGCTAATTCTAACCTACCCATTTCTTTGTCAAGATTGGAAACCTGAAGTTCTGGTCGTTACATACCTGTATAATTTGATGACTTTTCGATATCATTGGTTAAAGTATGATTCAAAAATATATTTTTTTATTTCGACATTATTTTTAAGCTTAAAAGCTATGTGAAACACAAAATATATTTTGCAACTCATTAACAAAACATTAGGTATGGTAGATCTTCTCTAGATTAATTTTAATCATTTACTCAGATATAATCAATGGACAATGATCCAGTTCTTTGTGAGAGTACATGTTTGAGATACTCAAGTTCTTTATTACCGGTAAACAACATTTGTGTTTGTATCTTTACTTAAAAAAATGCAATAATTCTGAAAGTTTTGTTTGAATGTTTAGTTTACATTTAGGTTTGTTTATTATGGATATGCTGTGTTGTGTTCCAAGTTATGCTATCCAGATTTTCGGTATGCTTATGCAAATGTTGTTTTTTAAGTTTTTCAAGGCTTTTTAACCCCCTCTTATTCTTTTTAGTGTTGTATGTTTTGTGTTCTTAACTCTTATACAGTCCCATTTCTGCAGTGTCTCAACCTAACCTTCTCCACCTTACTGCAAGGCCAACATCTTACACTCGTCCCATTCTGTCCAAAGAGCATCAGTAGTTGGTGCTGGTATTCAAATGGCCTGCACTATAACATGGGCAATTGAATTGAAATGCAGTTGTTTCCCTTTATCCTGTCTTTTTATGAATATAATTATGATTTAATAATATCTCTATTTCATGCAAGTTTTAATATTCACCGTGATGATGTTTTGTGCTCATTAACAGGATACCTGTTCAAGTACTGTGAAATGGATTATCTATAGGTCGTGAATCAGGATTTCCATGGACATCTGCATGCACCAAATATGGGCAACACACATATTTCACTGGCGCCATGCTTAGTTTGCCAAAACATGATGCTGAAGACAGAGTTTCCTACATAGGCCCAAAGCCCATTCTTGGTGTTCCTTGATATCATATTCCTGGAATATTTCTTAACACCCTATTCGCTCAACTAACGGGATCAGGTGGTCAGGCTCGCTGACTTGGTTGATGCATGTCATTGTGGATTGATTCTCATGATGTCAGTCACTGGATTGTCTGGTCCAGACTCGATTATTTACAGACTGCTGTCATATAGCTGGAAGATGCTGAGTGCAGCGTTAAACAACAACAAACAAACATTTAGTTATAAGATGATTTTATTAACTCCAGTTATCATGATTATGTAGAATATGGTTTATTTCCATGTTAAATGGGGGCATCATGCACTTGCTTTGTTATACCAGGTATATCTGATGTACAAAGAACGGTAACCTCTCCACCAATCTTGATTTTCCTGAAACCTCACTTGTCAACCCACTCTGTTTCGGTTTACTTCCTGACTTGGGTATATTGGACACTCCCTCTTTCAAAATATTGGATCCCCCTCTGGTTAACTGTTGTAAATTACATTCCATTCCATGAGAGGAAAAATACTTCATAGAAACAGTTGAAGATTTTCAATGGTCATCATAGTGAAGATCTGCAGTGTTCATCAGCAACTAAGATAATTGATTTCATTCCAGCAGTCCATATCAATTACCATACATTACCTGCTATGCAAATCACTGAGTGGAGTACTTGCACAAGATATTTCCTATGAATACCGTATTTGACGTAATAAGCGCCCCGCTCTAATAAGCGCCCACGGCGATATTTGCTAATATATTGGCTAGTGAACAATCCCAATTAGCACCCGTTCCGATTGTTCAATGTACACAAGACTTATTTGTTCGTGCGTAATACATGTGTTATATGCATCCTTAATTATAGAAATTAAATTCTGGAAAAATATATCTGTCGTATATAAACATTTCAGACTGTCAGCATAAACCACGAAATTTATGATTTTTCAACTCTGTTTTTCAACAAAATAATATTCTAATAGGAGCCCCCTATTTCTAATTTTGAGAGCGCACTGGACGCTTATTATGTCGAATACGGTACATGTAAAGCTGTGTTGTTGGTTGCGTCCAAGGTGGTTGTTGAACTGTGAAGTTGTTTTTGATGTTTTTAAGGATGAATGATTGCACATGTATTATGGAAAAGTAAAAGAATTGAACTGGAAAATGGCATTTTCAGACATATCTATTTTGTTTCAGATAGGCTACATCCAATTTATTTCTGTTCATACACTTTCTCAAATTAATAAATCAATGTTTTAATTAAATTAAAGAATTAATGTGTTTTTTTATGGATTTTTTTGGTTGCTTTGTGGATATTTATCATGTTGTTAATATTTCATCTTAGGAAATATCAGTGATTAGCTATTCGTTTATATAAAGATTTGTTCATCTGATGGAACTTGGTCTCATTGTGACTTTGTCGGCCATTTTAAGGTTATTATGTAAGTAAATGATTTCAGTGCTTGTTCAGAAAAAAACACATTAAGAAAGCTGTGGCAATTCCACTGAAGAAGTAATCAATTTGTAGTGTCATAACCAGGAGGTTTCATTTAGATTTATTTTTTTTCAATGTAACTATGAAACAGAAACACTCATTCTATTTGCTCTGTCCATCTATTTGCTTCTATTTGGTGATCTTCCTATTTGCCCTGTCCAAGATGGTGATGGGCAACCTCTGTGTCAATTTAATATCAGACAATCATTTTACTTATTGTCGCACAGCCTGTTGATTGATTGTTAATCATTAACACAATCCTGTTTTTGATCCTGATTCATCACGTTTCCACATGGAAAAGGTTTTCTGGCATTTCATCTGTGACTACATGTAGTCAAACTTTATTATGCGTCCTTTGATCCCAGATTTCATAAATCTAGGATCAAATTAACAAATTTAGATATCAGAAAAAACGGATGAAGGAAAGTTAAGATATCTTATGATTTGTCATTTTCATAACAATTTGTTTAATGTTATTAATATCATTTCACTCAAAACATAAGGGTAAAGGATAACTCTATTGAAATAGTTTATGATTATTATATTGTTATATTGATTTGAACCACAGACTTATATTATATAGAGTATATAGGTCTGTGTTTGAACTACCAAACCATTGTTTCCAACATGTTGTTTGGGGAAAACGCTTTTCTTGTATGCAAGCCACATAAGGCCAAGATCAGATGTTCCATATTTCCTGTTTGAACCAACGGAGGCTAGGAAACCTTTTGTGTCTCATGATGTGAGTCACGTCATTTATCAGATTGTTGGAAATCTATACAGGAATAACAATGATCTCTTATCTAAACAGTGGACGTAATGTTTGGTGTACTCTGTGTATTGTCTCAACAATAATCAGTTTAATGTTTTGACTGTCTTGTGTCTCATTTCTGCCAATTTTATTCAATCCGCTGAAATAAATTGTTAATTGTTAATTTTTGAAAATGTTTTTTATTTGCTGAAGACTATTGCGTTGTCCACCCATGTGGAGCAAGGGGTCCATTATCTTTATCTAGTCAAATGTTTTCCAAGCATATGGGGGCGGTGGGGTAGCCAAGTGGTTAAAGTGTTCGCTCGTCAAGCCGAAGACCCGGGTGTGATTCCCCACATGGGTACAATGTGGAAGCCCATTTCTGGTGTTCCCAGTCGTAATATTGCTGGAATATTGCTAAAAGCAGCGTAAAACCATACTCACTCACTCACTCAAAGCCTAGTCCTTTGGATTTAAGGCCACAATAAGTTAATTATTCAGTTTCATTCAAGTGGTTAAAAAATGTGACACAGAATGCATTTTATTCTATATTTTATATTTTGAAATAAACAAAGCTATTCAAGGTGTGTACATGATGGTGTACATGAATCAGCAATGTTTGCTACAAGTAGTACTATGGATAGGATGTACCAGTATTTCCTGAAGTACAGAACACAAGATGTCTTCATCTATAGATATATGAAAAAAATTAAATTTTCTGAGGCGGGTGGAAATGGAACGTTAATAAGTCCGAAGCTATTAGGGAAATGAATTTGGGGATTTGGGTCACACATCTTAGGCTACTCAGAGGGTCTCTTAAAAAAGTCACCAGAACCTACAACTTCTGTATGATTTTGACTTAAATCAGTACATACTATTAACATGATTTGGCTTGGTCACTCAACTTGAAAATATGTCACCTTTGGGGAGAAGGGGAGGATTGAGGTGTTTTTTAATAAGAGCACTCTGATTATCAGTTATGCTCAATGAAAAACATAACTATCTGTAACTAGTTAGTCTGATAGAAGTGGAATTATTAAAAACAACATGATTGTGATTTGAAAATGTTTATTTAAGAGAGATGTCATTGTCTGTGATGTCTGGGCATTGTAGAGAATGGAAGCCCAAGTACAGTTTCAGAGATGATCTCAGATCTGTACATGGACCACCTCCAACATGCCTGTTAATCCTTACTGACCTCCATTCTTATGAACTATCGCTTCTTCCAGACAGCAATTTTACAGTGATGAGGCCTTTTTAAAAAAAGTTGGTTTAGTGATTTTTCCAAAATAATTCAGTTCTGTAAGGGAAAAAGGATAAAAAAGTTGACGTAACAAGGCAATCCTGGATGTGGCTGGAGTTACTACCCCTTATTGTCAATACTGCATTGTCACAAGTCATTGCAGAAGTAATTCCTTCTGCAAAATAGCAAGAGTACATGGGTACAATGTGGGAAACCCATTTCTGGTGTCTCTGCCGTGATACTGCTGAAATTCACCCAGTACAATCACTCTTTGAGAGAATGTGTTGGCCTTGTTTGGTCATCTTCCTGAGGCAAGGGAGTTAACTGACTTTAGAAGTCCAGTTTCCATCCCTGCCGAACTTGGCTGGAATTCCTGTGCTCGACGTAGCGCCACCAATGGTTATTACAAGTTATGCCCCTTCTAAGCATCTCATATGGACCAATCAGATTCCACCTCTTGTATCACTTGCATTTGCTTCAAACCAAATGGCAGCGCCCAGTCAAAACGATCTGATCGACAATCAAGATCTATATTGTGATAAAACGGGTCTTACATAGCGAAGTGCATCAAATCACATGAGCACCTTGATTAAAACATGAAAAGACTTGGAAAAATCTGTTGACAACGAGTTGGCGGTGCACATGCTTTGCAAATCCTGCAATCGACAAAAATCTGCATGACATTTTACGTCAGTTAACTCACTTGCCTCATGAAGATGTGTTTGGTTGATATTCATGGAACATGATTCTCAGTGACTCAATACATAGATTGAACATTACGACCTTTTGACCTCCTTTCCCCCTCTCTTCAATACATTGATTGAACATTACGACCTTTTGACCTCCTTTCCCCCTCTCTTCAATACATTGATTGAACATTATGACCTTTTGACCTCCTTTCCCCCTCTCTTCAATACGTAGATTGAACATTACGACCTTTTGACCTCCTTTCCCCCCACTCTACCAGACCACAGGAATTTGTCATACATAAAATATCAATATTTTTATCCCATGTATCCTACGAATCTTGCTTGAAAACGGTATTAGGATCTATACCGAAACGTTGCCTTTACAGTATCAAAGAAGTTCTTATCCATGAAGTGTTATCCTATGAAGCTGAAGACCTTGATAATTGTTGGCCTTCAACGTGGAAGATACATGGGTTATGAAAAAAGATATTTCATGTACAGCTTCAAATTTAGGTGACCAGGATGACCACGGTCTATCAGTTGAGTCATCATCACACTTACTACGTTTGTGTGATTACCAATCCCCAAGGGGGAGATTTGTTGTACACGGAGCCAGCTTTTGGTAAAGCTTCACTCTCGTCATCCATTGCTGCCTTTCATCTCCACTTTTAGTACGCTGCTCACTTTTTATAAGACAGACTGTGTATGACTGATGTCTTGCATCCTTTCTTGGATATGTTGTCACACAAATAGCATTTGATATGGATGTGTTGGCTAGAACTGTGACAGGTACTTGCATACTCGAGCAGGGGTCAGGTTCAGATAGTTGCCAGTTACAGGGACTCGAGTTCCTTCCAGGGGAGATAACTCACCTACCCTTCTCTGACATGTGTTACAGGAAGTGTCTGGTGCAGTGTCTGGACACAGTTTCACTGAAGTGATGCAAAGAAAAAAAGAAAAGATGTTGATTGCACAACATATTGAAATCCGGGAAATAGAGTCTGGGTAGATTTTGTGATGCATTCTCAAGTCTATTTTCTTTGCCTGTGACACCTGTGAATGTTCAGCTTCATATGCCATGACAAATTAACTCTAGTCATGAACATAATCAGGTGTTCTTTAACTTCTTTTGAATAGTATAATTAATATTATTAGTATGGTGTTGACCACCATAAACCAGACTACTTTCAGCACAGATCCTTTCTTGCCGTCAGCTGGTTCACCATCTCCTCCTTCCTAACTCTCTGCCTGTCACTCGCTCTCACAGTTCCTACTCTCGACTCTACTCCATGACGTGTATGGACTACTCATCTGGGTCCCTTGTCACTGAGACACCCCTTGTTTCAGAGAATGTTCTGGTTAAAGACACAGTGTCTGCCAAGTTAGCTGCATTCTGCCAGCTCCGGAAACTGATCATCCCCTTGTCCTGAACGTCCTTCCGTCCTCTCATGGTGATCACCTCCCCATCCGGGCGCAGCACAACCAGCTTGGGGATAGCATTGATGTTGAACTTGTTGGAAAGCTGCCTGCAGTTAATGAAATGACATAAAGCCTAATACAGACTAATTAGAAGAAATAAGAAAAAATGACTTTTTCTTTGATTTCTCTGTGATTATGCTGTTTGAGTCATGATTTGAGACAAATGAGTGAGTGAATTGGGTTTGACGCCGCTTTGAACAGTATTCCAGTTAAAATCACGGTGTGTCAGCTTGATGTTGTTGGTTTGTTTGTTTGTTGTTTAACGCCGCACTCAGCAATATTCCAGCTGTATGACAGTGGTCTGTAAATAATCGAGTCTGGACCCGACAATCCAGTGATAAATATTATGAGCATCGATGCACTCAATTGGGATCGATGACATGTATCATGGGATCGGATGGTCATCTCTTGATGTGAGAGGATAGCCCAAAGTGATGCAGGTTTCACAATTTTACCACTTTAATGAAATTCATGAGCACGGGTATGGTGCTGACTAACCTAGAAACATAATCGGTGGCGAACTGGGATTCACACCCAAAATCTTAGGTTTCATGATCCTCCTCAATAGTTTTTCTGGACCCTCTGCATGAACCATCAAAGGCACCAGAATTCAATGTGCAGAGTTACATCCCTTAGTCATGTAAGGATTTGCTGAACAGGGGTTCGAATGCCAGATTTCCTTGATCAGAACTGTATCACTTACAGTTCTCTTGACACATTTGGCGACACCATGATATAACTGAAATATAGTCCAAGACGGGGACATGGGTGGCTCAGTCGTAGGTGCCTTAATTCATTTACAGAGTTCGGTCCCTTACATATGCCAGAAACCTATGATCACTGGTTTGAATCTACTGTTCACCCTTATGATGTTTCTTGGATTTGTCGGCACCATACCCACACATATGGGTTTTACCAAGGTGATAAACATCAAGACCGCTATACACCAGACTGATAACTTATACCATACATATTTAATCAATATAAAATATCTCAGTATTGCTTTCAGAGGTTGTTCCCGTGAAGATCCGGGTTAGACTTGATCTTCAACGATTCATTCTAGTCGTAAACAGTGACTAACAGGATTGGGTGGTCAGATTCGGTGACTTGGTTGATGCATGTCATCGTATCCCAATTAAGTAGATCGATGCTCATGATGTCAATCACTAGATTGTCTGGTTCAGACATTATTATTTAAAGACCTCCCTTACATCACTGGAATATTGCTGAGTGCAGCATTCAAAAACAAATAACACAAACAAAAATAAAGGTTGAGCAGTATTTAAAAAAACCTTACTCTCTGAGAGGGTCGTCATAAGGCACTGCTAGCCAGTCACCATGACAGCTTAGGTAGTATTCTTCCATCGCCTCTTTTGTTCGGTCAAAGCTGATGAAGATAACCTGAAGAGGGGCATTCCTGTTCCTGAGGTCCTGGTACATTTGCCGGAGGAGGGGTGTAAACTTCTGACATGGGGGGCACCAGGATGCTGAGAAGTAGACAGCGGTCACTCTCTCCTTTGTAACCTCTTCGCCACTGACCAGGCCATAAGTAGCCCGGTCAGGAACATACTTCTCAGTATTGAAGTGCTCCTTAGTCAATAGCCAGCAGTCTTTGAAAGGGTTTGGAGGAGGAGGAGGAGGTGATGTGGACTCAGGTTTGTGTGACTCCATCTTCTGTCTCACTGAGGAACAGAAACACCGGCAATTGTATTTAAAAAAAAAATAATATTGACCAATCTATTTTAATTTTTAATGCAAGAATCCACCTTTATTATGTTTATTCAAATTATATTGAAATTGGATTTGAAGCATTTTCTCTGTTTCTTCAGCCCTGATGAATCACTTTTGTTATATGCATATACATGATAATTATGATATGATAGCAAAATTAATTTGTCGTTAAGTATTATGAGAATTCTGTTCGTGTAAGTAGTAATCATTACAAAATTATCATAAGTATCTGAATATGATTTATCAGATAAAGAGTTTGATACGAAACTGATACAGCAATTTACACTCAAAGACTTCCATATAAGACATACACAACAGGATGTCAACTTCTGATTTCCAGTTAGGAGATATATATTTTATCTAAATTTTCATTGACCAAGCTGATTGTTTTATTGTTTTCCTGATCATTATTTGGCCCTTGAATGAGTAAGTTGACAAAATATACTTCATCAAGATATGAACTGAGGTCCCCCAAAATTAAAAATATTATCACATATAATATACGATTTGACACCAAAATTGCAAATATCATCATTTATAATAAATGATCTTTTCGAGAAACGTGGACAGAGACAGATTTTCAGCTTTTATTCACATAGATTCTATTTGGATTTTTCTTAGTTACAATATTATCAATACTACAAATTGTAGATAATATTGTAACTAAGAAAATTGTAGTACAATATTATCAATAGTATCGGTTGAGCCCCTCACATATATCGGGGAGTGGTAGAAAGTTACTAACAACATTCTGTCAAGGGAGCATTGAAAGACTTCAATATCTCATACAATGCCACTTGATAGGTTAGGCAGTCTGCTAAATATGTTATCTTTATCAGTCATTATTAACAAATGCTAATAATGCTATTGCGCTAAACGGCAACATGCAATCCTCCAAATGTTCAATACAAGGCCTAATTCTCCCAACAGTTACAAACATGTACGGATGCATTTCAAAGACAAGGTTAGTGTTACTTATGTGGAATGCATATACTACAACTACACAAAAACACATTAAGGCAAACAAGGAAAATAAACATAATATTTACCTTAGCAACAGTGCATAGATCTACTAAGAGCGTTGGAGTTATGTCCCTTGTGAGGGCACCAACGTATAGGTTCACAAATAAACACGTGATATTTGAATGATAACACAATCTCATGAAAATCAAATCCAAGTGCTCGCTACCGCATTGTTTAAAGATACCGAGCTCTAAGATCTGATTTTCATGAGATTGAATGATAACGGAACTAGTAAATATTTTCTGGAATATTATTATATCGCTTTTTGAAAATCATAAAATTCAAATATATAATAGACAAAACAACTAAAACCGATAGATATATTTATGATGTGATTATATCATTCTTACACAGCACCCTCACGTATATTCGAACAGCTATGTGCTTGTAAAAGGAGAAACATGCTGAGAACGTGACTCTATTTCATTTCCTTTATAAATCGTGGTCTGTTTGATATTTTCTTTTCAATGAGAAATTTTGTCCAATATGAACCATTAACAGTGACCAACGACGCATGACGTGTCTATCTTCGTCTTTGCAGAGAAAAACACAATGAAAGTGCTTTTCGGTAAATTTTCTTTCACGTTTTCTCGGCATGAGCCTGATAGAGACGGTTGTCCCGCTGTTTCGGGCAAGGAAGAGGCTTTGTTTTGTAGTGATATTTTTCATGTTATTTTACGAACGATTATAGATTGTCCGTTGTAGAAACAACAACAGAAGGGCATGAGTGCTATTTAAATGTAAATTGAAGATAATTTAAGAAAAAGAAAATATATTTTACGATAATATGAGTTTACAACCACGTGAAATACTGATTATCCTGTTCAAAAATGTTTTTCTTTCTTGTTTACGCACACGATTTCTTTTTTCACTCAGTCCATTATTTTGACATTAAGGAAGCACGCATCAGTTACATTAAACACCTAACCCCCGTAAACTTGATAAGATATACGGATGGCAAGTACACGCATACGGATATGAAAATGAGTCGCATGTCCTGGTTCGTACCACACTCCGGCACCGTGAGTACTTTTATTTATTTATTTTTTAAATTATTCTTTTACGGTTTATTGGTTAAAAGTCTTATACATGATGAAAGAAGGTGAACATTGACTTAAGGTCAGTTATTATCAAAACAACTAACGTGAGATGAATAATGTAAACATTCAGGATTCATACGCTAGAAATAACAAACAAATTTTCCGCCGCTGTGGAATTTTATGCCGAACTCTTATAATCCTACCATATCACAATCATAAACTCCAAAAGTTCAATTGGATCTTTCGTTATCAGAATTTGAAAATTTATTTGAATTCACCACATTTTATCAAAACATTTAAAAAAGGTTCAAATGACCCCTTCACTAAGATGTATTACCTTACCAGTGTGTGCTCCGTGGGCAATTTAAGCTTGACATGTACATGCAAGGCCATAGGACATTGTGAAGTGTAAAATATATTCTACAAATTATTTCACTTCACTGTGTTCTTAACATTAAGTCATGAAATATGTTACACAACTTGTCAAAAACTAAACTACTGGCTGAGTTTAGATCTAGAGATGGGAAGGACACGCACAATGAATGGCCTTTCCCTGCGTAGTTTTGACGTAAACAATGCGTGACGTCATAATATTATGTGTGACGTCACATAGCGGAAGTGTGACGATACGGTTTCCATGTTGCAACGGGACGGTTTGGCTATCGGTTTCGCACCGATTATCTATTCATGTCATGTCTTCGGGTATGAAACAGGATGGTTTTCAGAATTTTGAGCACAATTCTGAAAAGGAAAGCAGACCAGATGACATGCGTGGATTCGCTTATGAATCTTCTCTCGACAGCATCAGATCTCGCATAAATGACATATGGCAAGATGATCCTTCGAAATATGATGTCCTGACACCAACTTTATGCAACATTTGCCTTACGAGTGAACTTCTGCAGAAAAGACTTTCTTCAGTGACATCCGCTGATATTTTAGCTGGTATTGCCGTAGGTCCTCAAACAGAAAAATCACTCATTAACCAAAAAGAGCAACCGGAATTCACAGAAGAGGACGACTTTTTCTGCAGTCCAGTGTAAGTACATAATACCATCGTATATGGTCATTTGTCCAATTGATAAAAATACGAGTAATCATCTTGACCTTTCAAGGGATGAGATAATAATTGCTTACATACCTGTAATCATGATAAAATATATAATACATGCATGATACGAGTAGCAGAATGAAATTTTAAACGGGTGTACTAGGCCTATGTATTATGACATTGTTCTTGATCTTTTCGTATGTCGTATTGATGCTATTCTTCTCACTTCAGATTTGGTTTACATCAGGAATGTACACATGACACCAATTTAGACCACACGGATGACATACAACAGGTAATACAGATGGCAATATGAAAATAGATTGAATTGATAAAAAAATAATCAGTCATATAATCTGCAGAAAACGAAATAGTTTGTGTTGTAGTGGGAAAAGTTGTAAGAGGCGGGTAAAGGATATGTGATGTTAAAATCCGGGCAGATTGTACGAAGACGGTTACTGTAGGGGTTTCTCCCGTTGTTTACTTTATATATTTCCCAAAGGGGGATTGTATCCTCTTTAAATCCCTCTTCGGTGTCCGTGTAACAACATATATCGTTCTAGAGACAGAAACATAAAAGGTTATCATTGCGTTACGGGGGCGGTCGGGTAGCCTAGTGGTTTAAGCGTTCGCTCGTCACGCCGAAGACCCGGGTTCGATTCCCGACATGGGTACAATATGTGAAGCCCATTTCTGGTGTCCCCCGCCGTGATATTGCTGGAATATTGCTAAAAGCGGCGTAAAACAATACTCACTCACTCACTCACTCATTGCGTTACGACAGTGATGTATACGAGTTGTGAAGAGAATGGAAGTTGGTTTTGTTCCCCTTTTGTGTTAATTATTTAATCGTGTTACGACAATTATGTTTATTTGTTGTCGTAAAAGCATTTAAAACATAGAAGCGAAAATCACATTTGACAAAATAACACTTTTTAGAACTGAATAAAGGTAACTGAGTCAGGTAAACAAAGGAGAGGCTTGCCCGACCTATTTGAAAATGTCGCAACGAAGGGTGGGTTGTATCTTTTGTTGTGTATAGTTTCTGTGTGGGCTAAGGGAGACAAATTTAAGTGTAAAAGGGTTTGTACAAGGTTTGACAAATACGCTGGTCCACAACACAAATGCCAGTATACAAAATCAAGAGCATATGACGGTGGTTTGTAAGTAATCGTGTCTAGACCGGACCAGTCATTTCAAGTTTGAGGTGGCCAGACTGACTTGTTGAAAACATGAAATGTCAGATTATTAAACAGATGAGTCTGTAGAAACTTTTGATGTTTTTAATGAGCTTTTGAATGGTAGGGCAGGGTTTCCACACGGTGATGCTGATGCTGACTGTATCAAGAGTAATCCCAGAGTGAGTGAGTGAGTTGGGTTTAACGCCGCTTTTAACAGTATTCCAGTTATATCGCGGCGTGTCAGCTTAATGTGGGAGGAATGCCCGAAGTCATGCAGGTCTCAGACGTTTACCACTTCGGTGAAACCCACGAGCACGGGTATGGTGCAGACAAACCTAGAAACATAATCGAGGCGAACCGGGATTCGAACCCACAATCATAGGTTTCTGGCGTGCCCAAGGGACGCAACACTGCACAGCGAATCGCGGCGCCTTAGACGACTGGGCCACCCGTGCCCCCTGTAGTCCCAGAAGGGATTGGGAAATACATGTCTCGGCTGTATGATGACGTATATAACCACGTTTACTCTTCTACCGACAGGGCGATGCGAGGACAGTCGGATTTGGTCGGAATGAAGGACTACCCGGTGTTTGCTACAATGATCCCTTTGATCCCAGATTGTAAGTGTAGTGTGTGCTGTGAGGTATCCGTTTGACTATATTCATATATCAAAATATATATATTCTGCACGTGAAAAACAGTGTATAGTGTGTGTGTGTGTTGGGGGGTCTCCGTCACATGTAGAACAAACCTGGGGCACGTTTGTTTGTTTGTTGTTTAACGCAACATGACGGCGGCCCGTATATATTCGAGTCTGGATAATCCAGTGATTGATGTCATGAGCATCGATCCACACAGCTGGGATACGATGAGATGCATCAACCTAGTCAGCGAGCTTGACCACCCGATCCCATGAGAAGACTCTTACGACGAGCACAGTTGCCTCTTTCGGCAAGCATGGGTTGCTGAAGGCCTATTCGAACCCGGATCCTCACGGGGCCCTAGTGCACGTGCAAGGCAAGATAAGTTAAGGGCCCAACGCTCGTATTGTAATAAGATCCTACAGCCGCACGTTGTTCCTATTGAACCTCATCTTTCAACACGACAGTACAAGACTGCATACATGGCAAGTATCAGCAGCATCACCACGGAACCACAATGTACAGATCCTCTCGTCGCCCACCAAATAGCCAGGTGAACTGTTGGACGATTTCGATCGCTGCGGACGACAGCGTCATCTTGAACCGCAGACAGTAACCCGGATGGGTTGTTCTAATACTGCTCAAGACTGACATCCATAGGGTTTAAGGGGATTAGGACTAAAGATAATAGGTTGTTCTCGAACTGATATGTGATCCGTATTCTCATTGTCCATGGACAGGAGACTTGCCTGCTTGTTCGGCGTCCGTTGTCGTCTGTAAACATCATCTTCTCAGATGTCTTTGTTGACATGTTAGACTGTTGAGCTGCAGTACCGCGACACTATTCATATCACAATAGCTTTGTTTCAGCACGTTTGACTTGTTTTAAGATGGCAGCTGTTACAAGGACATTTTTACATGTGAGTGAGTGAGTATGGTTTTACGCCGCTTTTAGCAATATTCCAGCAATATCACGGCGGAGAACACCAGAAATGGGCTTAACACATTGTACCCATGTCGGGAATCGAACCCGGGTCTTCGGCGTTAAGAGCGAACGCTTTAACCACTAGGCTACCCGCCCGCCCCCATTTTTATATGTGTTTGCGCTGACAAAGTTTTTTTTGTATTGGTCTTAAATAATTAAACAGTATGGAGATGTATTAGGTTTGTCCTGTCGTCATTTATGATTAATTAGTGACATTGATAATTTTTGTCACTTTGTTCATGCAATTTTCACAGGTACCCTGTAATACCCTGAAATGCTTCGAAATAATTTTTTAATCGATTTTTGCAGAACATTTGCTGGCCTTCAGGACATTGTGTTTCCCAATGCCCAGTTTGTAAGACCAGATGACCAACTTCAGGACAACATCTGTCTCGCCGTAGACGACGTCGGTGACATTGTCCATGAGTACCTGAACAAGTATCACGACTTCCTGGATTTCATGCGGTCAAGGTCACCGTGCGGGAACTGGGTACATAAACCCGAAGCCGTCCTTCCTGCGAAATTTGCATCCTACGAGTTATGGTTGGCAGCCAAGAACGAGGCTTCAATTGAGAACGAGGTTGACGAGGACTGTCGTCTGCTCGCATCCAAAGTCACTTCTCAATGTGTCAAACGACTCTGGTTAGATCTATCATCCTACACTCCCAGCACCTCAGATGACCAAGATGTGTTTTCACAACAGGGGTCTGTGAGCTGCGGGTCCAGTTCACCAAGGGACTCCTCATCCGCCGTGAACGAAGATCTGACCTCTGGCTACTCTGACCAGTGGTCTCATTACAAGCAGTTGCATTATTACCCTGTAGGTACCGAACCTAATGCCCCCACATCAGAGCTCTGGGCAGAAAGAAACTTTGATTCTATCAAGGACTTCGTGCCTCGCGTGTCTTACGGCTTCAACCTCCCAGTGCCGGACGTGGTCAAAGAGGAGTCGCTGGTTTCTCTCGCTGACACAGTCAGGGACGAACCTGATGATGACTTGGACATCAAGACAGACAGACATACCAGCAGACTGTTTGACATTTGGTGTGTGCCAGAACAGAACGACGGCCAAGGGGATGGAAGTCCGAACAGGTATGTATAAAAATGAGAAGGCATTTTTCGAAGTTTTATAGTGTACCAAATTTGCATCTGTAGGTCTTCAGAACATCTAGGTCTGTTTGTATGGTCTCCTTTCGGTGAGAGAATAGTGCATGGACGTCGGTTGAAACTAATGGAGACACGTTGATTACGTTTCTTGTTGTTTGGAATAACATAACATAAGGCTGGTACACACCAAGGCCTTTTGGAGTGAGTTTGGTTTTTCGCCGCCTTTGATACTATTACTTTGTTATACATATATCAGCGAGGAACACGCACCAATCGGCTTCACACGTTGTATCCATGTGTGAATTTGACCTCTGGTTTCAGCGTCACGAGCGTCGGCAGCCATATCGTGATCAATTCACACCACTGCTTTAGCAATATCGTTCAACAGTGCTGTGCATTTGTAACAATTGTTTGTTCCACGATGTCTGTATTCAATAATGTATATTTACTCTGTCCAGGTCTGAGTGGTCTCCGCGTGATGTCCAACCACCAGAACAGCATTTATCCCCCGAAATTGGTTTACAAATCCCACTCCTAGTGTCCACCAAGAGGAGGGAACGTCCAGTCAGGGGGGTCAGGAACGCTAGGAGGTCCAACTTCAGAGACTACCAAGTCACGTTTGTTGATGACGTACAGTACTCAGACCCCTGCAGGTGTGCTGGCTATTTCTATCATTTTCTGTCATTGATATCTACAATGAGCGCTTTTTAACAGTATATAAATCACGGTTTGTTAGTTTCATGAGTGAAGAAAGATAAACGTGACCCGCAGCGTGGATGTTTAGTGATATGTCTGGCACGGGCATGGTTCTGAATAACCAAGCAATATTATCACCCCGAATCCATGATCAGCCCATCTTGCAGCTAATGTACGCATCTTAGTTTACTAAGCATGAAGTCAAAACCAAGATAATGAGACTCCTTTTTATCATTATTTCATGAATTATTACACCCGAAGTTGTGCAGAACCTTCAGACTAGAGCTCACAAATCATGTTCTAATCGTTTCAGATACTCGGAGCCAGAAGCTGTGTCCAATTCCAGGGCAACCATTTCAGACACGAGAGTGTGGACTGTGAAGAGCCACGGTGAAGACGGCCGTCCTCCTCACAGCAAACACGGCTTCAGCAGGAGCGAAACCCACCAAGAATACAGAGATGATCATGTCAAGGACTACTGCTACCCTGTTACTCAGAGGATCGAGCTGTCTGCACACAGTGAGCCCTTCTTTCCAAGGTGGCCAGTCTCAGATGACTACAGCTTTACAGGGTGCGAGAGTGAAAAAAGACTTAATAAGATCGAGGAAGAGCTAACAGATATTAAAACTTCTCCTCAGCAGAGGCACGAGAATCGAAATAGCCTTAGTCCTTGCAGTCAGCCCTTTATGCCAAAAACGCCCTCGCCGGAGCAGATGAAGCGATCGCCTGTCGTACATCAAGAGCTTCCGTTTCACCTGGATGACAACGACCGCCACCAGCAAAATCGCGTCTGTGATGATCAGAGCAACGAGTTCCTAAATAGTCCTGAAAGTCAAAAGTCAACAGAATCATATCAGCAGTGGTCTCCAGCACATGAGTCAGAGAACAGTCCTGTCAAAGAGTATAAACTGTTCGATACGAAGAAATCGTTCTATGACAACCCCATTCTGGATAAGGTTAAACCCCTCACCAGTGTAGGTAAGTCGGCCAGCAAGCCGTGTGGCCTTATTGGCAATATGAGGTTTACTGGGAACGGATGGAAGAAGATATATGAAAAAGAACACACTGTAGACGATTTGTGGAACATATGGATCAACAGTCCTGAGACAAAGATAGATGGCAAAGATCAGTCATGGACAAATGGTGATGCCAAGCTTCTCAAGCCTCTTTCAGCTTCTTCTCAGAGCAGCATGAACCATTTGCAGCCAAAGCTGACGTCCGTTCCGTCAACAGTTTGGCAACGAACATCACAAAGTGTATGGACAAAGCCCGATGCACCTGTTCAATCGCAACATTCCCTTATACCTCATCAATCCTACCAGACTCTGCGGTCACTGAGGCCTAATCTGGCGTCCTATTCCCGCACCTCTCACCAGGGTAGCATGTCCTCCCCGTGTGACAACTCGGACAAGATCCCCCAGGCACGGATAATACGCCCACAGACCCCGCACCAGCTGGAACTCAAACCAAGTCTGGAGGTATTCCCGCGTGGGGCTTTAGCAGAGCCACGTCTGCGCCAGTACCAGACGGTGACATCTCCTTGGACGGCGGCAGAGCACAATGTAATGACGAATCTACACCAGCCACAAGAAAACACAAGATTTATTCAGGTAAGTTGCGTTTGCTGTATGTAAATAAAAAACGTCAATGCAAGAGAATAAGAAGTCTTGATTATCTGCCGAGTAGATTATATCTGAAGTAAAGGGCAAAATAGCTGTTTTTTAAGACGTTTTTTTAGGACATTCTGACCCAATAGGACACGAGATGTTGCACGGTGCTGTGAGTGTCAAATACAGCTGTCATTTCACAATCATGTTTTTTCAGTCTCAAGGAATTGGTGCAGTCCGACCAAACCAAAACATCTCGTTTGTGCCCAACCAGATGACGTGTGTGCCAACTCCTCAGCCCTACGACTACCGCAATATGGTGGTTCTCCAGCCTCACCAGAAACAACCGGAGCCCAGGCCCACATTGCAGCCGACAGTTCTACGTCATGGGTTTTCACCTCAACCTCCTCTCAAACCCACAGCATATCACACGTTTGGACCATCTCTCGCTTCAACTCTCCACCGAGTCCCATTTGAGCAACACTCACGCCTGCACCCCTCCATCATTTCCCGCCCAAATGCAGCCTTTGCACCACCGGCCGGTTTTGCTCCTGCGATTCCCGCTCAGACCTACAGACACGTGACTGTCGCAGCCAATTACAATCCTCCAAAGTTAGTGGCTGTTCCAACCTTTGACGCCCGCCCCCGGCCTAGATACTACACGTCATTTCTGAACTTCAACAACCACAACGATGCCTACAGCTCGGACTCTGAACTGTCGGAATCGTCAGTTGACCCAGTCGGTTCCCGGGAGGACGATCAGGACGTGTTTGATAGACATGGTCGAGCTCGTCCAATCCGTGCTAATCCAGCCAATCTTATACATTTGACCTGATTGATGCATTTAACGTGAAGTGTTTGTTCAATTTATTGTTGTTATTTTTTTATGTGAAAGGATGTACCGTATCTGTGATACTGCTATTACAGGTCTAACATGACGAATGGTGTTTGATGTGTATTTATTTCTTGTTGTTGATACTGTGTACACAAATCACTGGCATGTGTGAATGTACACAAAATCGTTGTGAATGTATATTAATGAGAATTTTTACATTGTACATAGTATAATTGGCACCGACATATTTATTACCTCATTTATAGAAACAAATAATAAAATGATAAACATAGACAATAATATTGTTGAGTTGTTTTTGCCTCAGTCGATGTATGCATAACAATCAATCCTTGTTTGTGTCGAGATCGAATGTACTGACAGATTATAAAATGCGTAAATGAACACTACTTCATTATTGACCTCCCAACGTTATATGGGCGCTGGGGTAGCCTAGTGGTTAAATCGTCACGCCGAAGACCCTGGTTCGATTCTCCACATGGGTACAATGTATTACGCCCATTACTGGTGTACCCCGCCGTGGATATTGCTCGAATATTGCTAAAAGCTGCGAAAAACCATACTCACTTATTTACAACGTTATAGACAGTATTATTGTTGTTACGTTCGCCACAATTCCAATGTACAAAAGTGGTTTTAGCTATTATAACGCCAACGCCACCACTATCATCACACGCATACCACATCATCGGCGCTATCAGCGTCATCACCACAAATACCATCACCACAGGAACAACCAACCTCGCCTCCGCGTCAGCATCTTCATACCACTACACGAACAGTAACACACGCCAACATTCTCTTCACATCACCATACCACTACACCAACAACACCCCACACCACCACATCATCGCAAACTCCAACACCATCACACAACTGCCATGATTACAACAACAGCCTGCCTCACCGCCACGCCATCACCAAAACATCCTTAATAATACACTTTTAATCAATTATCAAATATGAGTCCCATAATTTGTCAAGAGGGCAATCTAGACCTCCCATATGTATAATTGTATATTCAGACTATACCCCTCATTTGAAAACCTAATACATATATATAAGTCTTTTAAACCTACTCCGAAAGCTATACACACAATGACTATTCGAGCTCATATATATATATACCAGAATACTACACCATTCAGAGGCATGATACCCCACTTTCAGCTTAACAAGTTATATCTATTCATGTTCTTGATGGCATATATGCCCCTTACCTTCGCTGCACTGAGTGTAACACACTGGCTGTGACTACCTTTAGGCAAGGAAAAATGAAAACATGTTTTTCTGAATCATCATATTTGTTATTTTGAACGATCTTTTTTCACGGCTAACATAATTGTTTGGCTTGGTCCGACAAACAAGCTGTTTTGATGATATGTTTTCTGAACATCAATGAATTTTTAACCTCGTCCACCGGGAAAATGACCTTGTTATAAGCTTCCGATGAGAAACATTCATGTGTTTTCATGGCCTGACGTGGCTGAAAGTTGGTGTTGTTGTACACTATGAGCTTACATTGTTTCCCAGGGCTGTGATGACACATTTGTCAACACACCTCATCACCAGGGCTCACTTGCACAAAGCTAGTCCTGCACGATGACTGTGGAATATATAATTTTTAGGTATTTTTTAAAACTAAAAGCCCAGGCAAGTCTAGATAAAACTAACCAAGTCTAGTATGCTTGATTCCAGCTGAAGAGGAAAGGTTCTTTCGAAGAAGAAAAAATAAAATTTTAAAGACATGTTTTCATTGACTAAGTGTCAGTCTAGCACAAAGCACGCTCAGGGCTATATAGCCAAGGCCCCATTATTCACCGCAGACTCCCGTCGACAAAGTTCAAGACTGTGAAGTCAACGTTCAACCCATGAATGATGATGGCCACCACAGACTCCCGACATTAGTCGCTCTACCCTCGCTTTGTACTAGTGGGAACCCGTAAAGATCCGGGGTAGAATAGGTCTTCAGCAAACCATGCTTGCCGTAAAAGGCGACTGCGCTTGTCGTAAGAGGTGACTAACGGGATCGGGTTTCTTAGGCTCGCTGACTTGGTTGATGCATGTCAACGATCCCAATTGCGTGGATCGATGCTCATGATATCAATCACTGTATTGTCTGGTCCAGACTCGATTATTTACAGACCGCCGTCATATAGCTGTAATCTTGCTGAGTGCGGCGTTAACCAACCAACCAACCAACCAACCAACCAACAAGTGGGAACAGCAGTTGTCATGGTACGATCTGGTCTCTGGTCGAAGTGAGGAGCAAAACTATTTTGTTCATTAAAACGAAACATCTATATATACACGTATATATACATACTACAAACTTGATGCTGTGGAAGAATTTAAGATATGCATTAAGATCCGCCTGCCATAACTACCATGTTTGTTTTGTTTGTTTGTTGTTTAACGCCGCACTCAGCAAGATTACAGCTATGTGACGGCGGTCTGTAAATAATCGACTCTGGACCAGACAATCCAGTGATTGATATCATGAGCATCGATCTACGCAATTTGGAAACGATGACATGCATCAACCAAATCAGCGAGCCTGACCACCTGATCCCGTTAATCGCCTCTTACGACAAGCATTGGTTGCTGAAGACCTATTCTACCCCAGATCTTCAAGGGTCACATGGAAGTTTGTGAACTATTTTGTTTGTTGTTTAACGCCGAGTCCTGCAATATTCCAGAACGTGGCCTGTAAATAAATCTGGAAACTTAAGTGATCGATAGTGTGAGCTACAAGAACAATTGTAAACCGTATTGATTATTGTTCATACAGTAAAATAACAAAAGTTAGAAATATATATATAAATGATAATATTCTGACACATTATTCGAGGGTGCGTCAGGAATCTTCTTGTGGCTGTTCATGCTATGTATGAATGTACCTAGACTGGACACGGTTCGCAGCCTCGAATAAATGACCTCTCTCGAGACCTCGAACAATATCCTACTTAATGACTTTACAAGAGTATGAATGTGTCATCAGTAAGTAGCTGTCGTATGTTATATATTGTGTCTACAGATCATGTCCAACAGGGTTGGCAGGTTCAGTTAGACGTCTGACAACATTACAGGAATACTTTAAAGACACCAACAAGTACGTACACGGTATTGGAAATAATTATTTTACTGTTAAAACGTGCAAATGGAAGTCATGTGAAAACTAGCACGGTGTAAGTATACACACTGACACAGTCCCGCCCCCCTTGTGTGCAATGGTAGGTCCCCAGGCTGGCGACAATGAATCAAGTTTGCCTGACCCAATGTCAACATGAACTGTCCGGATAGGGTGTGTAATAGACGTGACTGTACACACAGAGACCATGAATATCAAGGGCCACTGTCAGAGAGTACATATATGGGCCCCCAGTCAAATGTATTTTATTTCTTAACATGGCGATAGTGGTTTTATACAAAATCGAAAAAACTCGTTCACGACATTAAGTCTTTACAATAATCCCTCACAACTGCTACTGGTTTGAGGTCGTGGAAACATGTGAAAGATTTAGGATGTCAGTCTTTTAGAAATAAAGATTCTTGGACGATAAGTATATACTGATGGAAAGAAGTTGAGGAACCGATATTTGGGGAAATCACTGTTGTTGGACAAGACACTATGTGTACCCTCATACGTGCACTAAGACAAATATCACTTCACGCGTACTAGTGTATTGTTTACGTCATCCGTACGGCATTGATGAGGTCATTAGAATCTTATTGTGACGTAAGGTCGGAATGACGTCACACGAGAAACGACATCATAGCTGAAGATTGTTGATGTCTTTCGACAATTGTGGTTTTGTAAGAAAGCGGTCGTGATTACTCCTTTTTTCAAAAGGGCAGCTCCAAAGGATATAGAAATGATTAAAAATGAAGAAAGTAGTACACTCGTCAATGTGTCATACTGATTTTACTTGTGTAAGAATTCATATATTACCCTCACTCACGCGCGGGAAATACACGAAGTCTGACACTCGATTCATAATATCAGTATGTAACACGTGCGAGTGTAATAGTCTCTATTTATTACCCATAGGTTGAATAACCGCGTTAATAAAAATTGTATGTGCACTAGTGCAAATATCAGTTCACGCGCTCTAGTGTCTTGTTTACGTCATCCGGACTTCATTCATGACGTGACGTAAGATGCCTTCAACAAAGTAATCGAATAGATAACAGATGTTTCATTTTCTCTACTTGTTGACTCGAAACATTGAAGGAAATGATTTATTTATACATGTTGCTACAGTACTTTTTTCTCTTTGTATTTTGTTTGAACATATGCTTAACGGCGGATTGGTGGTCAAGTACAAACAATGCGCTCTGTATTGTTTGAATAGATATAAACCGTTTTAGATTGCCCTCGCTCTGTGATACTGTGTTATTGGAGCCAAATAATGAAGATCGGGTGGTCAGTCCCGAACTTGTTTGTTTGTTGTTTGATGCCACACTATTCCAGCTATATGACCGCAACAAGCAATTATTCGAGTTTGGGCAATACAATCCAGTGACTGATATCATGAATAATAATCCACGCCGTCGGGGTATGATGTCACACAATCAACCAAGACACCGAGTCTGACCACACGATCCATTTGGTCGCCTCTCACGATCAGCATAGGTTGCTAAGGGACCTATACTAACCCGGGCAGTCTTGAATTATCGTCTGGATCGATGGCATGGATTTATGCTCATGCTTTCAGCCACGGATTTGCCTTATCCAGACTCGATTATATACATAACGCCCTGATGTAGCTGGCATGCTACTGATTGTGACCTAAAATGACCTAGTGCGTAAAGTAAGCCTTGCCGAAGATACATAATCTATACCATCCCGAGGGGTCATATGTATATAACCCCATGTCACGACCCCCGTGTCAGGTCACACCCACGTCTATGTCAGATACAGGCCATATATGCTCGGGGGTGATCCCTCAGGTCGGGGTCAGTGCGACCTCAGGTTGAGGGGTCAACTTCTCAATCTCAAGTTAATTCTTTGGATAAATAAACCGTAAATCCGCCAACCTCTACCCATCGATGATTGTCAGTCTCAATATGATCAGTGTAAGACTGCATATACTCACTCACTCACTTCAATAAGAAACACTCTTTACGTTTGTAAACATGATGTTTTGCCAATACAAGTAACAGATATTTCCAGATCCGCTGCAGGCAGCATACGTGCTTTCATCATGCGGGATCTGGAGTTTGTGAAAGGCGGACACACAGCTACACTGATCCCGTCAAAGACATTTGGCATCAC